GTAAGCCACCACCGTCAACTGCCGCATGGTATTACCAGAGATGAGTTGGTCTCCAACTCATCTCTTGTCTCTGATACCTCTGCTGTTACCGACCGCTCTGCCGAGGCAGAGGCGAAGTGGGAGATTTCTCGCCGAACGAAACTGGAAGTGCTGCCCCGAGTACTCATTTTCAGAAGCTCATATATTTAGCTGCGCCATCTGTCCATTACACGAATAACTATTCGTACTCTTGTATTCAATATAATAGAGTTTCTGGTGCATTATATCACCCGGGCAATATGCGACGGTCCAACTCATCTCTGACGACAATATGATCGAGAATATAATGTAGGGTAATAAATGATCATTAAAAATGGTTAAATGAAATTCAAGTTACAACAGTTTCAACAAATTATGAGAGATTATTCCGCCGCGTGAAAATTTTCATAACATTTCTAAAGATTTTAGTTTTTCAAAGTCTAAGAACCAGAATTTCTGAATTTCCTGTAATTGGGCAAGCCACTATTAATTGACTAAACTACCTAACCTTTCTTTTGGGCTTCTCGAGATTTTCAAGTATGGTAGCAAAAGTTGCAACTAAGCATTAAAATTAAATAATTCAGTAGTCCTTGTTTATTAGGACATATTTACATTTATTAATATCCGTTATTTACATTGGTCCAGACTCAGTCCAAGGGAATTTAATATAAATTCAGGTGTATGAATAGTATCTTCAGAATTCATAGTAGCTTATATCTATACCTCTTTACAGTATGTATGTTACAATGTATCAATAAAACTACATAATAATAAACAAGACGCTTTCTTTTTCAGCACGTTAAAAATTATTCATGGTCCAGACATGATGAGTCTCGTTCTTCAACTGGGCTGGAAAAAGAAAATAATTTCACATTAATATAACGACCTCTTACGATGTATAAAAAAATGGTTTACATTACCTTTCATCTACAAATAAGAGCGTCCCGACATCCATAAGCATGGAGGACATTGAAAACTGGGCGTCGTCGCGTAAAGTAACATGACAGCCGATTGAAATACTTTAATACATTATTTATTACTTTTTCCTTAAAAAAGAATGAACTTTGAAATTGATTTTTGGGTTGGATTCTGGCGAGTAATGACTGGGCATTTCGAAGCGACAATACACACTAAGTTGCAAAGTGAACTAGCTATGTATGTATATGTATATATAATATTTATATATATATAAGATAGGTATTCCTCTCTCGTTACTGCATAATACATAGTTAATGATGCACATTATGTCTCTCTTGTCTTCGTTCTCCCTCGTTCCTCTCCTCAAGCGCTCACTTAGTTTCTGGCAGGCGCGACTTTGTTATGTATACTTCTTCTTCTCTTTTTATTCTCATATAATTTCCAAAGTAATAGTCGACGGGGATACGACCCGCGGCGAAGTCTAGGAACTTGGCTAAACGTTCTATCGTCATTTTGGTCTCTTCCCGTTTAGAGATACACGACTAAGAAACACTATACGGAACTTCGCTCTTAAGGGGATGTGAAAGTGGCATCCGAAGGGTAGATCGTTTATGAAACTTTTCTGCGAACTGGGTGTACCGAATCGTTTCACACCCTACAACGTGAACGTGGAGGCTATAAGAAAGGTCCCGACACTCATGAAATTCCATTTTTTGTAAGAAATTTTACGAATATTTATGAACAAATTTTTAAAAAATTGAAATTTCATGAGCTTCAGGACCTTCCTTATACCCTCTATATTTATATTGTAAAGTCTGAATCGATTCGGTATACCTAGTTTGGAGAAAAGTTTTGTGAACAAAAACTGTTTGATGCCACTTCCACATCACCTTAAAATCCAAGTAATCCGGAAAAAAAAAATATCTCGCGAGGTTCGGGGTTTCGGTAAGACCAGCTTTCCAACATAGTGACAGTGCACCAGAACCCCGAACTCCCCTCGACTCAACGTGACGATCAACGTAAATTGGTTTATTAAATTTATTAAATTTATTAAATGCGATCAGGATCAGGGATTCCTCGATTTCGCCGTGAATCGCGTCCCCCGTGTACAAAGATATACTCTCGTCTCTCCCCGAGAAGGCGCGTCCTCTCGGTCTCATATACATGTATATCTATATATATATATATAATATAAGTAATATACAATCAGTATACAGAAATGCGGAACGTTGCAAGGAGGATGGTACGGACGAGAGCTCGAACGACGAGGGCTGGGTAGAATGTCCCGTTTCGAGGAGAATTTAGAAAATTAAGAGGAGTCATCATCGCAGCTTCACGTCCGAGGACGTCGCTCCGTGCAGCGAACCTCCGGCGATCCATTTACGCGATAAACTCCCCAGATAGCACAGAGACGATAATACAGAGGACAACAAAATTAATAACCACAATTAACACAGTGAAAATGGAGTCGAAAAGTCCTCTACAAGTTTTCTTCTACAGTGCATGGTTTACCTGTAATAATTCATTGAAACAATTCAATCAAGAGCGTCCGTTAATGGAACGCTTCCGATTGGCTGTTTTAATGAATTAGTCTAAGAAAGTTAGGCACGGTAGAAATAAAATTATATAGTACTTTTCCATTTTAAACAAAGATATCGCTGTGTAAACTCTGGTTATTAATTTTGTTAACATCATTAGTGGAACGAGCCTGATTGGCTATTTTAAGTAATTATTACAGGTAAACTGTGTATTGTAGGAAAAAGTAGTGTATGACTTTACGACTCGATTTCTAATATGGATAGCACTGTGGAAAAAGTGGTCATCCAATTTTGTTACAACATGTATGAAGTTACAGTTTCGTTGGAACTTACGTTTTAAGTCTACTTAGCACGGCGTCTAGATGACGTGACAGATGTCATATGACAGTTCAATGACGTCAAAAAGTGGCGTCAATACAACTGAACAAGAGTGACTCAATAATGATTAGAACGGGGAATAATGATTATTTAATGTCAGATTCATATATTTTATTGAATATGTGTCTTGGTATAAACAATTAAATAAATTAAATAAGATGAAAACAATAAGAAATCGGATAAAAATAGGAAAGTATTAAAACGTTACTTCAATTATATTTTCTGTATTTTGTGGCTGAATAATGTAATACTTGCATATCTGCGCGCTTATTTAATTGTGCTTTATACGTGAAGTAAAACAGAAGTAAAGTGATCAATAGTAGAAACAGTATTTCGTAAGCTTATAAATTGAAATAAACGAATATTGTATAAACAATTTTAAATATATAACTAGAAAGACTTTAAGTTGACGTTATGTTACGACGTTCTGTTGACCTCGTGACATGTAACGCCACACGTCATAATTTGGACATGACGTCGGTAGCCCAATAATGATAAAAACAATAACGTCATTACGATTCTGTACTATCTGGATTGCCATCGTTCCTCCTGATCGCCGTACTCCACGCATTACATTATATACCGTTTAAAGTTACTTTATTCAAAGTTAAAGCTTTCAATGTTTTTTTTTCTCTCACTCTCACTCTCTCTTTCTCTCTCTCTCTCTCTCTCTCCCTCCCTCTCTCTCTCTCTCCCCCTCTCTCTCTCTCTTTCGCAATAATGTCATAACAACGAACCGCTTATCGCGCCGCGGTTTCCCTCTAACATGTACACTCGCATGCATTCGGAAGCACTCACACTTACCGTGACTCGCACTTTATTTCCTCTACTCGTCATGTACTCGTAAAGTACTCGTAATGTACCGAGTACCAAGTATCGTGAATCCTCAACTACGCTCCCACGCAATCTAAACGGAACACAATTAGCGATCGCTCGTTCGCATCCTCCGCGTCTTGTAGTTCTCTCATTATCTTTTTGATTTCTTGTACTCCACCAAAACATAGTTCCAGCGAGGATGACGTAAAGTATTGTACTATGGATTGGGTATATAATATTTGTACGTCGCGGATTGCAAGTTTGTATGCGCCGTCCCCAGAATCGGGGAACCCGGCGACGGTGAAGTTCGGGAGAATGAGGGCTTACATGGGATTAATTGTTTTATATGTATATTTTTGCAACAGTAACAAATTTGAAGGTAGCTTGCTTCGGTTGGAGAGGTGGAATGTAGATCTAGCTGCGAGATATTTCTTTGGGGCCGATAGGACTCTCTCGCAGAAACGTTCGTCCGCCATTTTGAATACGTTTCGAGTAGGTAATATTACTTTACGTTCTAGGAAGTTCGCGAGAAGAAGGTGGAAATATTTATTCGAAGAAGTCACGAGGATGGCGAGGAAACGTCTCTTCTAGCTTTTTACAGGTTTGCGTTTACATTTCTTGTATAACTACTAGAGTTCCTCGATAAAACGGCAATGGTTACTGAATACTTTATACCATTAAAACGTATTTAAAATATCTGCGCCCTGCGAGACTAATTTTTACTCTTATCTCAAGGGCGGCTCAAATTACATAGGAAATGTACAAGTTTCACAAAAGCTATTCTCGAACGCAGTGTATACAAAATCTAATACATATTTATAAACCAGCTATGTACAAATGGTATATACCCAATCCAGGTATTAAATTACATGCTCCTTATATATTACTCGTAGAATTTTGTCTTCCACCTGAGGAGGTAATCCTGCACCCGCGGTATATAACTCGACAATTGTCAAACACGAATTACCTGCTACATACTCGTAAATATTCGTGTACATTTGAGCGGTGACTCGCGCGCAATGTGCACGGGATTCTTTTTCGAAAGCCAAATTTTTGCGTCCTCGCTTTTGCAAAAATTACTCGGAGACGGTTTTGCCGATACCACGCGCACTTAACGACGTACCGCGAATCGGTCGGAAAAATGTGTCGTGGATAATTCCTCGATGAAGTAATCGTCCGGTTAGTATTCGAGAGCGACGTAGTCGATCGTTACAGGGAAACGTATAAAGAATTTCGCCATCGGAGGAAATGAAAATGAGCGGGTCTCTTTCACATTCATCTCAGTGCGAACCGTGATCAATGAACGTTAGATATTAAGGCAACTCTTGTTACGAATGTATAATGATTCTTCGTATAGGATACATATTTGTGGCATTCTCTCCCTCGCATTCGCAGTGATAAATTCTCCCGGTGAGTACGAATTAATCAAAATTGACGCGATAAGCGAGCGCTGCTGCGCAGCTCTGCATTGTAAGAAAAATGGCCTACCTCGGAAATCAACGCGCGACTCGATTGCGGACTACTTCGATCGACGTTAAATATCGAAACCCCTTCCAAGTTATATTACATCCAAAAAGTTTTACTTCCTTGCGGTTACGTAAAAGGATATTAGACCCTCCACCAAATGGGAGCGAATTTAAAGTCGACTTTGCGAATTCTTTACAGTGCATTTTAGGAAAACCGCGCGATTTCGTCGTTCGATCGAGAATCCCCAAAATTCGGTCGACACATAAGAATAAAAAATCGACTCTACATTCCAAACACAGAGGAACCGCTAGAAATTTCCTGGCTATACCTCGCATATTATCTCGGCAAATCGGACATAAATTCAGGAAATGTTCAACACTTATGGAAACGTCACAGAGTGGGATAACGCTCGGAAGAAAATAACGAACGAAAGAAATCGAGTATTGTCGGCCGAACGACAAATCGATCTAACTCGAACCCGGATAACCCGATCGACGTGTAATCGCAGATATCGGAATCAATGACTCGCGAGTGATCGGTACAATGATTAAGAGCTCGAGAAGTATCGCTACTTTCGCGAATTATTTGTAAAAGTATGAAATCCTACCGAGCCTCGGAGCCCCAGAGATCGGTGACGAGACATTATTATCGACAGGACACTAATTTTTATAATTACTGTAATACAACTTCGTTCATGTTATTTCTTTAAATCTTTCCATAACGCGCACGTGCTACGTTTATCTGAGAGAGTGTGTATACTTATGGGCGTGTATCGTTATATTTGGTTACGTACCCACGCAAAACTGTGAATATACATCCGTCTACGCGTGTCTCCGTGCATACGTAGGTACACACTCTGCCGTACGTGCGTACACACCGAGACAGATAGATAAGTAGAAAAATCCTTAATCGTAAATATTTACGTGTCATCTTTTTATTAAATGCAAGTAATGAAATCGGTACGTAAGTATTAGTCAGTAATTCGATCGATCGTTATCCAATCGGCAATGCGTTGCACGGATGCTCGTTTCCCGGTTCCGCGGAATTCCGAACGGCCGATGAAGAATCGAGAATCAGACCAAATTGACCGTTCAATTCGGAAGTTCAACGTTCAACACCGAATCGGGCGATCGAGTTCATCGTCAACCCGAGAGTTAGCGATCGGGTTCAACGTTTAATCCCGAAATCGGCGATAGAATTCAACGTTCATTTCCGAATCCGTCGATGAAGTTCAACGTTAAATCTCGAAACCGACTATCGAGTTCATCGTTCAACCCCAAAGCCAACGTCCGAGTTCATGGTTCCCCTAAAAGTCGATGTCCGAGTCGAACGTTGAACCGCGAAGTCAGAAAACCCGGAATGGCGTTCCGTCCCGGGGATCCGCGAAAACGCGTGCACGCAGGTATATTTCGAATCCCTGTCTCTCTTCGTCTTCGGTTAAATCTCGGACAGTCTCTCTTCCGAGAGCAAGAGGGACAAGGAGCACCTCCGAGGGTCCCGTTCATCGGGTCGGCCTGGAGACCCTACGAGTGGCGTCGCCCGAGAAGAGCTTCTCTCAAGGACCCTCCCCGAGGCGGCGAAAAGAGACGCAAAAAAGTCCACGGGAGCAGTTTCTCTCTCATTTTATTAATATAATTCAGTTATTCATAATAATCCGGCCGTCGGTCCCGAGTGCCAGAGTGGCGGAGGTCGCGGCCCCTCCTCTCCTCAGCGACCTCGTCGCTGGACCCGCGCAACGTCATCTCACTATACCTTAACGCGACGTAAAATTGCTTCACAATGGCAACAGTCGTAACAGGCGGCGCCGGGCCGTATAAGGGAGAAAATATATCCACATCCGGAAGGGGAAATCTCATCCTGCGAGACAAACCGGAAGGAAGGGCCGCGCGTCTCCTCCCTTATGAGGAGGTCTCCGGGGCGCGTCTTCGTGGCACTCGGGAGCGACCTTCGCCGCTGCACCGTAGCGAGGACGAATCGGTCTCCGTCGTATAAGAAAAGTTGCGACATGCTACGCCTGTTAATAGTACGGTATAGAAACGGCCCCGACACGGTTGACCCATCGGTATCCGGTCGCTGGCCAAGCGTCGAGTTTTGACGTTAGGGTCCACGTGGTCGGACCCTCGCCTCGCCTCGGCGTCGTTTTCGCCCGGCTTAACGTTAATTATAATTACGGTAATAAACGTAATAATGACCGTAGTGACGAAAGAAGGTCAACCTATAACGTTAGTAATGATATAACGGCAATGATAACAATAATCGGTATTAACGGTAGTAATATAGATAATTAATAATCATGATCGCGATTATCTAGGGAGAGTCTTTTGTTTTGTCGTTTGTTCCGATGGACGCGAGGACGAGGGTCCCCGCCCTTCCACGGGACCTCGCGTCCTTTAACTTTAGATTAGCTTTAGTGGTTTCTTTAACGTTAGTTCATCGTTAAGATCTTGGTCATCTGCTTGCGTAAGTCTAAGTTAAGATTAGTTTGAGTCCTCTCCTTCTCCTCGTCGGAGGCTGGCTCTCTTTCCCTCTCTCTCTCTCTTTCTCTCTCTCTCGCTCTCTTTCTCTCGCTCTCTGTCTCTCTCTCCCTCTCTCTCTCCCTCTCTCTCCCGCCCCCGTGAGCTAGCCGTCTCTCTCGCTCTCGCCAGATCTCCCTCGACTTTGTAACTCGACATCCCCGGGGACACTTCGGGGGCTGAAAAGTGCCGCATGTTCGCTGCGGCAGGGGACCAATCCGCGACAGGACAGTCTGCCAAGTTACTAAGATTTTCGGATTTATCACAGAAAAATATTTTAATAATATTTAACATTACCCCGCTCGCTATCGCCCCCTCGCGGCTCGCCTTATCACACATACGCACGTACACGCGCCCGCGCGCACACACACCCTTTCGCTCTCTCTCTCATCCCCCCTCTGCGTCCATTTTCTCGCTCTCATACCCCTCACTTTCTCCTTCGGCCTCCCTTCCACCTCCCATCAAGGAATACGAACGAGATATACCTTACACGCGGTACGTTACGCACTTTTCTTCGTTTTAAATTTACCTTTTTCTTTTTCATTATATAGCGACGTTACGCGACGTATGAAATACGATTGAGTTTGTAAAGCACTTAAGGGAAGAAACCACGCAATCCTGATGAAACGTGGCGAGATCGCGTGGGGTCCCCGAGGATGCGGGGGTTCCCAGGGAGAACCGATGGCCTACTCGAATAATCCGGGACGAATCGAAAAGTGGAGTCGATTAAACGTTTCGGGATGACCCGAGCGTCGCCGGGGACCCCCGGGGCGGCGAATCGCCGCCATCTTGGATTTCGCCCGTTTCCGACCACTACTGTTCTTATACGGTAATTATAATCCGCAGGTCACACGTATCTGCCTCACGCAAGCACGAAGTATTGAAAACTAACTTTTCTCCACTTAACGTATATACATCTACCTAGGCGTAGGTATGTATACGCGTATACGCGAGACTCCACATTGTTTCTCTGTCTACTCGTATCCCCTGAAACGCCCCGTACGATTGGCAGTATGTTACGTGGTAATGGATCTCGGGTTTGCGCGCGATAACGCGGCGCGTGTCGCACGCACTCCTGTGATAAGTCGCCCCGTCTGTACAGTTTCGTGGAATTCGCGGAATTTTCTATCGGAATTCGCGGAATGCGCGGCACGCGGCGCGTGTAACCGGCGTCGGTAGTCGGTGGTTTCGCGATCCTAGCCTTGTCGGGCCGACGGTAGTGGTAGTGAAGATTAGTAGCAGCAGCGGTTCGGTTATAGCGTACTGGTAGTAGTGGTAACGGCAATAGTAGTGATAGTAGTAACAGTAGCAGCAACGGTAGTTTAGCAGCGGTAGTAACGACAATAACTCGCGGTACTCGTTGCAGCGCGCGAAGCTCCTCTCCTGGGCGTCGTCCCGACCCCGCCAGACATCCTGGACGTGGCTCCCGCAAAAGACGCTGGATCATCCGCGGAGTCTCCGTTCGCTGCGCAGGGACTCGGACGACCTCGACGAAGTAGATCGGGCGAGGGCGAACGACTCCACGGCGATGTCCATTTGCACGGGATTTCTTCTTCGGGGTCCTTCGTCCTTCAGTCATGGATCCCTTCCCCGCGAGAGTCGTTCTTCCCCCGGCTCGCAGGACCATCCATGACCGTATCCAGGGTGTTCGGGGAGTCCTCCTCTCGGTGGCGTCCTCGGCTCGCCGGACTCCCAGGACGCGGGGCGCGGACCGCGGACGCGCGCCGGACAAGTGTCGCGACAGTCAATGGAAATAGTGGTAGAAAAAGTCGGATCCCCTCCCGCTCGCAGGACCCCTGAGCAAGAGAGCGGGGGCGCCGAGGGCCCCTCGGGAGGTCCTGGGGTCGGGGGCCCCCGGCGGCCGCCAAAGTCCCGGGTCGAGGCCGGCTCCTCGTGCGTTCGGTGACCCCTTCCGGTCGTCGCGATCGACGCGCCTCTTCGGACTGATCCCGGGGCCCGGGGGCCGGTGGGATCACGCGCAGACCGAGAGGCCCCTCGAGGCGTCCACTTCACCAGACCACCGTCCAGGGTCCCACTTTGGCTAGCACCAGTCGTCCTCGTCGCTGTCCGAGTGCCTGGACCTGGGCGCCCGCTGCTTGGGCTGCGCCGCCTGGGGCTGCGCCGGTTGGGGCTTCGCCGGCTGCGGCTTGTAGCCGTTCGGCACAGGACTGGGCAGCAGGCGGCCCCCCCTGCCTATCGCCACGGCTTGCTCGAAGCTGAGCACGTTCTGCGGCGCCCCGGGCGCCCCCGGTGCCCCCCCAACGTGCGGCCCGTGTGTCGGCGAGGCGTTCAGCTTCGGGAAGTTGATGTTGGTCGGCTTCAGCTGCAGCGTCGACGGCTTGTTGGGCGTGGGGGGTAGCCTGCGCCCGTGTCCCCTCCTCGTCACCAGGACCGGGTAGCTGTGCTGGTGCGGGTGGTGCGGGTGGTGCGGATGCGCCGACTGCCGGCCCCCCACTGGACTCGGACTCCGCGAGCGCTGCTCCAGGCTCGTCGTTCCGTAGTGGTGCCGCCCCTGATGGTCCATCCTGTGCACCGGACTCGGCGACCTCGCCGGACTCGTCGACGTGCTCCACGGCCCTAACGAAGGATCTGCCGTAATTCGAGCGTACGAGCACGCATTAGTAGCCGGTCCGACTCCTGCCGCGACTTTTGGGGCTTCCTCTAGCGGGATGGGAGGGGGCTCTCGAGGATTAGGACCCTGTGGTCGCTCGTTTGGGGACACTTCCTGCTCTCTTCGGTCCTCGCCGCCGACCGGCCTCCTCGGGTATGTACGCGAGGGTCTACGGGGACTCTACCCTGGTCAGTCTCCGGAGTGAAATGCGGACGGTGGAGGGAAAGGAACCAAGAATTCACCCGAGGTAGCACCCCGATCTCGATGTTATATGGTATTTTTTGCTGATTTTTAGGTTTATCTTCGTATCTTCGATGTTAAAAGATGTCCGTACTCTTTATACGGCTGAAAGTATTTATTCATTGTCTAATTTGTAATTTTCTCATTATACGTTTTTCAGTGTAAAACTTCAGTTACGAAGTGTGTTAAAAATGTATGTACATTTTCATCGTATTTTGTCAGCTTAGTGCGAAACTTTTTCAATCTCCACCTCCGATTATCGTAAAAATTTGATGTTAACGTCTTTTTAGTATATAAGCCTCCAAAATGAGTTAAACTCGATTACTCTTAATCGATCGTATTGCCGTAACATTTTGACATCGTTTGTCCGACATGATGACGTGATTTTATTATCATTTTGACGTGGGGTCCAAAGTCAATACGTAATCGATGATCATTTATTGACGCGATATCGACGTCGGTGTGCTACCTGGGTTGTCGATATTCAAAGGGGATGATCTCGATAGGCGATGGTTGATTTGGAGGAGAAGAAGGGAGACTCGTCCTTCTTTCTGAAGGAAAAGTCGGTCTCTAGGTACTACCATGACACTCTAAGGCCGTTCTAATGAAAAATGAGTGTTTACAGCCTTTTCGATATCGCGGCACGAGTTGGTCTTGTCTAACCCGTTTTTCATCATCGCATGACACGGTTGCATTGACTAGCGAGTCGATGACACTGTCCGATGTGTAATGACTGGAGTGTCCCGTGACTTCGAGTTGGTGTTCGTGTGGGGTCTTACACACTGACGTGCACACATTACCGACAATGAAAAACTAGCAGGGATTGCGAGCGCCGGTGGAAGCCAAAGTAAAAAACGCTAACGAGCGGTGCGATTCCGACTTTCAACCTGAATTGTGATTTTCTAGCCATCATCGAGCTTTTACGTGACTATGCCCAAGCAGGATAAGTCTATTGACTTGTATAATCAAGCCTCCATGCATGCGACTTATGCGGATGAGCTTCGACATGGAATCGAACCAAGAATTACTCGAGCGGTCTCAAATTTTGGGTCACGATGCAAACCTGGGGACCGACCCTGAAGAACTTGCCGAAGAAGCAACAATGATATCATTTATTAACACGTATTTTTTTCTCCCTACTGTCTCAGTTCCTCTGGAAAGATTTTCCAGGACGTCGCAAGTTCTTCACGCTCGTTTGAAATTATTCAAAAAAGAAAGGTCGACGTCAAACGAGGGCCACAACGTAGGAAAGAACATCGAACAAGTGTTATCGGTAATGTACAATGGTTTTGGGGATGAGCAAAATTTGTATACGGGTCGAACGATGTCTCTAAAAGTGCTGTTCCTTGTTACAGAGTCGTGTTGGTGTGGACGGTGGTGGTGGTGTCGGTGGAAAGCTAAACGAATCGTGAAACTGCACGGGAGACAAGAGATACAAACGGTTTTGTGAAAGAATTACCATCGTCGTAATAGTCGCAGTGGTCGTAATAGTCTGTGTAGCGCAAAACAGAACAAAACGAAGAAACATATTACATCGAGTCACACAGAGCCCTGCCTCTTGCGAAGAAACCATTTACAGCACATTCAAATCGGTTCTGCTCGAGGCCGCTGATCGTCCGACGAGGATAATATAATCGTTGATAATTTCTATCATCTTTTGGTGTATAACAAACATTTCTTTGTATATAGATTTATATGCCTATTTTTCCATGCGGCGACCCAGCGGCCTCGGGGTGACGGAATCGTGAACAATCGTTCGTCATGATCATCTCAGTGTTTCCTTCCAGTGTCGCGTTCAGAGTGACGCCAATTACCTCTTATCCTGTGTCGATGATTGTACTGCGATGCATGGGGATGATGGGTGTGCCTTTGGATCTCCACGACGTTGCTGACCGTGTCGCTGAAGCCTGGCCCCTCGTGATTGTAATGTCCGTGATGGTCGTATCTGTGTCTTCTAGGAGACGGTGATCTGTGCGTGACCGGAGAATGCCTTCTGGAACAAAAAACATTTCACGAGATAATTTAATGAAAATTGGTTGAAACCCAATTTTTAGAGAAGCTAAATTGATCCATGAAGAAAATTATCTCTCTTGTGTGAAAAGTTAAGCGAAGAAGGGAAAAGTGAAAATTAGAATGACAAGGAGGAAAGGGAGAAGAAGTGATTTGAAGATGAGAAATAAAGAATAACATGTAACACACCGAGCGAAAAATATCCACGCGTGGGAATTATCAGCGTTGCAAGTGAAATTATAATTTTACTCGAAGTAGAACCGATATTGCGAAAAAAAAAAGGTCACGTACAGAGTTGACTTCAGGTATTAACAATATTAATGGGAGTTATACCATTTTCTGGATAAGAAGTATTTAACTCGAACAACTTAGTACTTGACATAAACAATTACTAATGGGGAGTAAATATTGTTCTACTTAAAATTCTTCTTCCGTGCAAGAATGTTCCCTCTTTCAGTTTTTCGTATGTTGAGGTCAATCAAAATTTCATTTCAAGACGAATGTACACTGAAAATCTAACGATAAAAGGTAACAAAAGTTTTGGGAGACTGAGCTTAAAAAACGGAATATCGCCCTTTGTGCTTACTTCGTCCGATTGATTTTATGATTTATATACTTGATAACAGAAAGTAAGAATCTTTCTTTATCAATAATTCCTTTTTTTACAGAGAGGGATTTTTTCGCTCGGTGTAGAAATCTGAGTTTCATTTGACGATAGATAAAGTACGTATAAAATACCTCAAGCTGGGTGATCGCGAGTGATGTCTAGGTGGATGCGCGACCTGATGATGAGGATGCAGCCTCTCTGCGGGATGTGTGAGGCTCTCCGTACTTCCGGCCCTCGAATCGCTAACTACGACGTCTTGCAGCTCCATCTGAAGAAACGAGGACGTCAAGAGACCCGCCATCGGGGAAAAAACAAGGAACGACATGGGGGGACAATTCGGCAGACTGCTTGGCGGTTGCCGAATCGCTCTGACGGCGGAAGTGACTTCCTCGCGTCTGTCATGACCGACATTGACAAGACAAGAGCTGATCGTCTCGCGTCTTGCGACACCTTTTGCCTCCAACTTCGATTGGTTCGCACGCTCCGAATCGATTGCACCGAAACGAAGGTCTAGGACTATGCTCGAAAGCGGCAAAAGCGAAGTGGAAGAGCTTCCGATGATGTCGAAAAGATTCGAGGCGTGCGAGAGTCCACTCAGCGTGTAAAATCGTGTCGAGGAAGAGAGCTGAATCGAAAGGCAGTTAAGTGGCGCAAAGAGAGTCAATTAGCATGCAATTAGATTTGCTGCCATGCACATGCTTCCTCCTAAGTGTTCTGAGTGTGGACCGGTATCGGCGTGGTGTCTTTTCAAGAGTCGTAAAGTCATCATCACTACCTCTGAACATTCAATTGTATCCCGTACTTACCATCCGCGCACACTAAGAAACAGGGTACGAGACCTTGTTTCGAATTGTGCGGACAAGACTCTATCGTTTAGCGTCTTAGGGGCCGAAAGCAGCTAGGGAAGGGTGGGACGCCCTTAAACATCGACCGGGTATGTTGCGGTACAACATCGAATCGTGTGTTGATTACACTATCACTAGTTCCGGCTACAATTGTGAGGCTTGCCTGATCTAAATGTTCCTCGGATGTATTGAAGCAATTGCTCGGGTACTTGTACTCTGGCTCGTGGTCGATAATACCATGCCTGTAATTTCTTCGTCCGAAGGCTCATTTATTCAGAAAATGATGGATTTTAATCAAGATCACGTGAAAATCAGGTGGAAATCGCAAGCAGACGTCACACCACTTTTGCAATAAAATCCTTGCTCGAAATTACAATTCTAATTATCATTTATAATTTTTTGTTCGGCACAACTTCCGAGTACCCGAGACGACGAGCCAGCTTCAAAGTCGAGCCACGACATCGGAACCTTCTAAACTGATCTACTAGCTGCAGAGCTACACCCGAAGTTTCTGAGCGGGAAGAGAGGAAGGGATGTCTCTAGTCCTCCTAACCGGGAGTTCCTCTAATTCTATCAAGTCCAGAGTATACTTGCGCACACGGACCCCGAAGTAGTTCCCAAAGTAGTCTCTAAAAGTAACTACCGGCTCTACCTTCCGGCAAGGATATCTACAATTGCACCGCGAAGATGGCGACCACGTGGCGAGACGTACACGTGTCTTTCTAACATCTAAACACGCCTCGTGTACGGAGTGGAGGCTCTCCCGAGGTCGATCCACGTCTCTAATCGAGGTATCTTATTTAGAAAATTAAATCGGGGCCTGTTATCACAGGCCGCGATTGGACCGAGCCGACACCTTGAGGTAACGGATTGAGGAGCGAGGTGCGTAGGTGTTCTGGTGTTGGTAGTACGAGGGTGGTCGGTGATGGTGATGGTGATGGTGATGGTGGTATTGATGGTCGGTATCGTAGTATTGGTGGTGATGGTGGTGGTCCTGGGAGGGCTCTGCTAGCAATGGCTCTAGCTCAGGGGCGCGTTCCTCGCCGTTAACTACAATAACCCCTGACCCACCCCCTCCCTGGCTACTCTCTCCGCTGCTCCCTAGTTTATCGTACTGGTGGGACACCATCCAGTTCACCTTTTTGTTCCTGAAACAGAAATAGGATCACGTTACTTCAATTACATACTCTACATACTTTATTCACGACCTACTGACGTTAGACCGTTCCAACTACTAATGGGAATTTTATTTAAAATTTCATAATATCTAGGAAAATATTTCTAGTCCCTCCACCCCTGAACGGTGGATCCTTGGCGGATAGAACTCAATAGATTCCTACTGTCGAAGGTTCGATTTTCAATTCTACATAAAACCTCTGGTAGTTCTTGAACGAGTTTTAAGGTAACATAAAGAAGGATGCTTCCATACGATTTTACAAGGTCCTACTTCAGACCTTAAAATTCCTATTTCCATTTCCTCTACCTATAGTTCTAAAGTACGATTCAGTTCGCACGAAGTAGGACGTAAAAGGTGGAAAGTAGGACTTAAAGAGTGAAAAGGGACGAAAGAAGTAGTGCTAAATTTCCGAGCCGGTCCTCGCGTGAATGTATTTGGCTCGAAGTTCTGCCGCGTTTCGTGATACATGAATTGGTTTTGTGACGGATACGAATGCCTTCTCTTCTCGTTTATAGGAACGCATTCGTGTCCAGGATGGGTGACTCTAATTTCGCTCTTTTGAAACGCTCCTCGAAATGAGGTGAATACGTGGCGACCGATACCTGATGCTACGTTGGCGTCTTTGCTCAGCGGCTGCTAGGACTCCGAGAGCCCCTTCTTCTTCGTCTCTGGGCTCTCGGCGATGGTCACTTTTGACATCGGCGGTATGACCAGCCGGAGGCTCAAGGCTGTTCGCCCTGCTTCCGGTGGCGTGGTTATTTCCTGTGTGGTTCACCCCAGCCATGTCCAGGAGGCAGTTGAAGAAGGTCGCACGCTGCTCGAACGTGTGAAACCCGTGTCAGACTCGGCATGACTTTCTGAGACTCGCGATGCACTTGCGATGCAGTCGCGAGAAACCGACCCTCTATGTATACAGTCACATACAGGCTTTCGACGCGTCCAAAAAGGACCCTCCTTCCCGCTGTCCTGCGCCCCTCTGCCTCGCTATCGCCCCGGAAGTCTCGACCCCTTCCGAGGGACGATCCCTTCGACGAGGGAGAGGGTGGAAGGACAGGTGTGAGAGACGAAACATGTGAGACAAGAATATGTATGAATATTTATATATATGCGGAAATAGATTATATATATATATATATATGAATATATCAAAGGTTTAGAAAAATTCGAAAAACCATGCCAGAAAAAAGTGGTGGTGGTACACGGTGCACTGTGTCGGCAGAGATACAATAAAATGGCAAAAGTTAAGGATCGAAGGGCTCGAGGGTCAAATTATCGATTGACACTCGTCACCCGAAAACTCGACGTGTTTCGTTTTCCGAATCCTCGTCGGGCCGGCGATCAGCTGATTCTTGGTTGGAAATGAAGATTAGTTTTCTCTTTTTCATATTATCGGATACAAGTGGTTTTGATAAGCTTGCCAGAGAGGGCTCATGCTATTCTGGTCAGACAAGTGGAGGGTGGAGTACTTGACTTGTTTGTAAAGAGATGTTTTGGCTTTTAATTAATTGTTTAGGGCCGAATCAGCCGGTCGCTTCGACGGGCACTTTTATTCTACGAAGCCTGTATATGGTGTCAGATCGAGAGATTTTAGATATGGGCTTTATTTATTAAGACACGTGTTAAGGAGGCGTTATTTGTAGGCTCTTAAGAGTACAACACAGTATCCGAAGAATTGGCACGAGAACGATGCAGTCCTTAAGCATGCATGAAAGGGCCCGTTACCAACGACTCCAGATTCTTGTCGCGAGGTACGAATTTGTGAACGAATTTTCTTTTGTAATGTTGAAATTCATCGAATTGTTGGTAACGTCGAAAGACACTTACGGGAATGCCGACACATCGGAAGTGATGTCACATACTTAGGGGACAGTACGAAACAAATCGACGTGTACAAGTATAGGCTGTCCAGTTAAGGCGTGTACTTCTATATTTAAATATTTGAAAATTAGGACAAAATGTCCAGGGATTGAAATTTTTATTTTGGGGACCTCAGACAGTCTTTACTTGCAAACGCCTTTGCGACAAACATACAAGTAGAGGACACAAGCTTAAAACAGTCGACAAAGAGCGTTGCCAAGGGACAAGGAGCACACATGTGCACACAGAAATTGGCTGGTTAGTATGAGCTTGGGCAAGACATGCCAAGAGGTGATAAGGGTGCGGATCGACTTCAGTGGGTCGGTTTATATTTTTTTTCTCATTTATGGCAGGTTTTGAAAACGAGACAACGAGGGATGAACCATTTTCCGACCCCCGTTGGCCCGTTCTCCACTCCGATAACAGCCTCCGGTCTTATCAAAGAACTTTACCGCAGCGAAATGACTTATTACAAAAAAGCTTCGGCATAATATACAATTTAGAATATACTTTCTGCAATTAATTTCATAGAATTTGTTCACTATTTAAGAATGGAAACGCTTGGAACTCCACTGTCGAGCTTTTTTGTCAGGGTGAAAGAAAATTTCGCTGCAGTTTGTCGCATAACTTTGGTAACACCGAACAGCTGATGTTAGTTTCGAAGAAGGATTAGTTGTCAATTTTTATCGGTCAATTTTAGTGAGAGCATCAGCATAGAAGAGAATACTAGAGCGTTAAGACAGTCAGGTAGAGTAAGCGAGTAAATGTCTCGAGGAAAGAGTTAATTTCTCTCTATGTACTACCGTGTTAAAGTAGGCACGTAAGAAAAAATGGGTTAGAATTGAGCGCAGCTAGCAAGTCGAGCCGTGCACTGAGAGAAAAACGAAAACCTAAGGTATGTTCTCGATTTAGTACAGATAAACTTTCGCCGATCGAGAGTTCTCCTTTTCGCCAATATCTTTCTAACCCACCGAAACATGGAAGCGACTTTTGGAAATTTATTTGTACCAAATTGGATTTTCCTCGGTGTGCTCGAGAGGAACGTACGAGTTTTTCCTTTACACCAATTCTTTACTCCTTCGAACAATTTACTTCTCTTCGTTACACCTCGACCTGTTAAAAAGATCCATTCGAAATGTTCTATGCATATAGTAAAAGTTTACTCAAGATACAACATTCCGAAATTTATATAATGTTTCAGGACTTTAGTATACAAATGTACGAATTTCAGAGGGCATGTATACTAAATTCTGAAGTTTCTTATTCAAATTTTTGATCATGTACTTACACGTAATTGTATGCATTTTGAAAAACGCGCATTGTAGTACATTTATTAACATTTGTATTGATTTCTTTTCTGATTTTACTGTTCAAGATTTTGAATACTTCTCCACGAACTTTCGTACAGAAATGGCGGTCTTCGAAATGTAGTATATTTGTTTTTATTTCTAGTGCCAGTGCTTCTGGTTTCGGTGTACAAAATTTCTATTCTAAATTCTTTGAAATATCGAAATATTTTTAACAGTGGAGTAACGAAGAGCACTTTTTCGGAACAGATGCAAAAATAAATCTGCAGATACAGAAGACCAGCGGAAAACAAAATGGCCGCGTGGTACGTTCCTTGCGACTGTTGGCAAGAGTCTGCGTATAAACTAGTTGGACAAGAAGAGATGCCAGTGTCAAGACTCTTAGAAGACAGTGTCTAGAGCTTCGGTCTATGACCGACTATCGTTACACACTATGTGACCAAAAAACGGGCTAACGTGTATCTAGTTGGTAAAGGTTTCGAGGCAAAAGGCGAGCTAGCTCGGTCACTAGATCAACGAGCGTCTCGGGTCTCGAAAAGGATTCTCTAGAGCTTTACTTACACCGTCATTGCGTCTTGGGTACGAGACCTTACGTGCATTAAGCATCCCGCAACCCTCGTAATTATCGACGCGTTACAATTTTATATATCACTTTGGAGCTCCCGGCGTTGAAGAGAGAAATAGAAATGGCAGGATTAGTCAGCGGCACAAAAAATACGAAGTCGAGTAAACTTTGGCATTAAAAGAAAAAAAAAATCTGCGTACAATTGCGATAATCACTCCGTTACGGTTTTCTGTAACATTCATTGACAAATTTTCCTGGTTAATGAAATAATTACGATTCCAGCAATTTTCGAGACCGGTTTGGAGCACAGATTTCCGTTTCCGCCACTTTAACCCACGTCGAGGGTAAAATTATTGAATAATATCCCTCGCAATCGAAAAGATTGGAAAAATGAAAATTTAGAGCATTGAATGCCTCACTTTTAATTGTTAACAGTTGGTCGGTAGAGGTACTTGGAGTCACATGTTTGTTAAAAAAAAATATTTATTAAATCTGAACGGGGTATACTCGCGCGGATTATCGAAATCTCTAATGTCGAATTAAAAGCTGCCTACGTGAAGCTGTCTTTACAAATTTTCGGAAAGGCTTATTTCGTAACGTTAGAGAGATACAGTCTTGATATTAATACTTTCGAAATATTTTAAGAGGTACTTTAAAGGCGTTTTACATCTACAAGCACGTACGGGTAGCTTTGAGCTAAAGTACGTATGTTATGATTTCTTTTTTTAAGAGCCTAACTTTATTGTTTAACATGATATATAGAATTGAACACGACAACAGTTCCCTCTTTTGAGCACGTGCCTTCGTTGGGTCTCGTTTTTGAGGGTAAGGTCTATATAAAAACTATGTCTCTATTGAACTGACTATTGATTAAGATGCTCTAAAAGGTACTAATAGACTGGTGCCTAAGAAACTTAAAGGTAGGATTGTAACGTGTTACGTGTGGCAATGTGGAAGGCACGACTGTCGTCGTTTCGACGTTCGGACAAGTAATTAACATAAGTTATTTAATCAGGAACGACGACCGTCGTGTTGCTCTCGATCGGGTGAAGAATACAAATTAACACAAAGAGTAAACCAGGAAACCAAATTACTTGATTAACTTGGCAGAGAATTTCTGTCAAAACTAGTCAATAAATCAAGACAAACCGACCCATAGTTATTAATCCATTTTACAAACGTGTCTTCGAACAATGACAAACGGCACTAGGAGTGCAAATCGATCCCTGAATAAACAATTGTTATAGTACAAAGTCCCGTGAAAAATACCCTACCAAGTTAAGCAATGAACCAAAATTTCAATACAGATGTGGGGGAGATACATAAAACAACGGGTAAGGTAACAAAACGATAAAGTGAAAAATAGAGGCATCGTGTCGCTTCCTTCCTCGTTTTTTATTTTCGCGAATTATATCTTCAAATTGGTTTCGGCAAAAAAGTGAAGGCGACACGATGTCCCGATAAACGGCGAAGGAAATTAATCTCATACAAGACGTGATAGGTTTTGATAAGAGAGATGCCTCATCATATTTTTCTATTTTTCTATCGAAAACTACAAAATTTTCACGCGGGCTACAATTCCGTCGTATAAGAGATCTCTCTTATCAGCTGGGGTGACACAAGATAATTATAAATTATAGTATAAATTATGGTGGAGATAATTAATAGAAAACAACGGATAAGGTAACAAAACAATAAAGTGAAAAATAGAGGCATCGTGTCGCTTCCTTCCTCGTTTTTTATTTTCGCGAATTATATCTTCAATTTGAGTTCGGCAAACAAGTGATGGCGACACGATGTCCCGATATACGGCGAAGGAAATTAATCTCATACAAGACATGATAGGTTTTGATAAGAGAGATCCCTTATAATATTTTTCTATTTTTCTAATTTTCTATCGAAAACTACAAAATTTTCACGCGGCCTACAATTTCGTCGAACAAGAAATCTCTCTTATCAGTTGGGGTGACACAAGATAATTATAAATTATGGTATAAATGAGGGTGGAGATAATTAAGAGAAAAAGTAAGTACTACCGCCTGGGCCGCAGGACTTTGCCCGGCATTATCGTTATCGATACGATCGTTATCGTTCTGCAAAACAAAGAGAAAATACACAAAGATGATTGAGAGCTGCCTGAAGATCCTCTTGTCTGGGTTGTAACTATATCACTAGATAGTACAAGTATTAGAGTACAGTAGAAGTATTTTACCCTCTTGACTATCACCTAAGGTACACGCCTACTCTAATGAAATTCTAACTCGGTAGGACCGAACATGATAGGATAATATAGACAGAGAAAGACAGAGGGACCGATAGAGAGAGAAAGAGAAGGGGGGGGGGGGCAACTTCTGCGTTTCGTAACTTTTGCTAAAAGTTTCCGTTTAAACACTCAACATATAGCTTCCTTGGCTAAGGTGTCTATTGTCAACTCATCCATAACTCACGAATCCCTAAATATTCACTAGACGAATAGAAGTCCGGGGAGGCCGAGACGATCCATCGATCGATATTTATTGATTATCGAGGACGACAAGAAAAATCAATCACGAACGTCGTATCCTGATCATTAGATTAAAATATGCAGAGTAATGAGTTATTTGTGTCGATTAGAGCTAGATATCAAATACTATTAATTATGAATTAATTATTCGTTAATTTTCAGACATATTCTCGTCGTTCTGAGAACAAAAAAAAAGATCAAAGACGAAAAAGGCACTTGAGTTGTTATAAAATGTTTCACGGATAAGTTTCAAGACATTTTGTAGAGAATATTTTGTATATGAGTAGACTTTGAGGAGGAATGTCAGCGTTTTTTGTCCTTGATTCGCCGATGGATCGTCAAGTCTGAAAAGTCGACATTCGATTTCGGGGACAATCTATAAGCTTTCCGATTGCTCCGGGGATTCGCACGAATTCGGGAGGGGACACATCGAGTTACTTCACTACACATATCGAATCGGCTAATCGAATCAGCAGTGAGGTCTTTGTCTTTTTTCTTGCTGACCGGTCCAGTGATTTGTGATCTCATTTGCGGATGATCGTCACAGCTGTTTGGCTACCATTAATCCCGGTAGTGGAGTTCGATTTTAATTGAATGAAAAAATTTCATCGGATGATCCCTTTAGGATCTGATCATCGGCTAATGAGAGCATCAATTTGACCAGGTTGAATCCTCGAGTCCTTAAAAATAGTCGGGTACACACGAGTACTGTTAAATGTTCTCAGCACTACTCAGCACATTGGGAACTGAATGCAGATTTTGGGAGTCGAGAAGGGAAGGGCTCGTTTCTCCTCGAAAAGTCACTGAAAAAGAGGATGAAGAGCGAGTTCGAATTTCTTTTTTTTTTTTGTCGGGGTAGAAATGGATTATTGGATATCGATTTCATGTTTTCGACAATTCGAGGAGAAACTGACCTCAGGGTTACTAACTACTACTTGGACATGTCGGATAGGCTCAAACTTGGTCTTCGCGTCGACCGTCAATTCCTACCATGAAGAAGCGAACGACAAACATTCATTCGAACTGAACTCTCAGCTGAGAACTGAAATATTCGAAATTAACAACAACCTCCTCGCTTTCGGTCAGTTCGCTCTCCGTTGACGGTGCAGAGTCTCGATTCGTCGTGACTCTCGTTAAATAATTATTAATTCGTTAAATCATCTTTTAGGGGATCATGGGTTTAACAGCTGATCGAAGTCCAGGCAGGCTTGTAGAATCTTGTTAATTAAATGTAATGCACGTCGTGAATTAATAATAATTATAGATACATGTTACAGGTAGCCATCGGGACTCTGCACCGTGCCTTGCTCGTATGGTTATCGGTTATTACGAAACCATGGAGAGAACGGAGACCGAAAGAGACGAGGACACAAACGCAGGGACCTTGTCAAGGTATAACTCTCTTTGAAATTGTTATAAAAATATCATCACTGTCGAGAGCTCTGGGCTCGCCGAGGGGAAACTCACCTGTGGGCCGGTCGCTTCTATTTGTCCAAACCTCGTGGTCCTCCAACTTTCGAGGATCAGCAGACCAGCGTAAATCTTACCAACGGTCAGCTTATTCTTATTTAATTCTGAAACGACAGAGACCCTTCAGAACCATTCCTAAACCGTACCCATAAGGTCTCTCTAAGCTCAATAATTATTCGAAAAATGTTTCAATCCATTACCTTCGCTCCTAGGTATCAAAAGATCCAGCATCTTCTTGGCCTGGAGGGGCCAAATATTTCTGACCGTGTCTCTCAGCTCCTCATCGGCTTGGTCCATCTCTTTAGCTGTGATGGACGAGAAGAATGCATGAAAATATGCCTCGACTCAACATAAGTACACATATTCGTGCGATTTTTCCGTTAAAAAAAAAGAAAATACACGAACTTATGCGTCAACCTAGTATTCAGTAGTTAATCGCTAGTTAGGTCTAATCTCCAGTTTCCTAACCGGTTCTCATCTTTATGCTGAGGTTCTCCCGGATCAAGGCGAACAGCGTGGTGGTGAAGTTGACCTTCCCGTCGACGTCGACGGGCATGTTCATCCTGATGAGCTTCTTGTAGGCCAACCTGTTCGGACACTTGTTGCCAAACCCCAACGGCGGGTCCATGTTCTTCAGCATGTCGTACATCTCGGTGTAGTGGATCTTCCCGGTGGCGTTGGGGTCATACTCCGCCCAAATCCTGACAAATTCGTCCAGGTGATGCGCCCCCAGGATCGACGAGTCCCGGGTTAGGTAGTCGAAGTTGTCCATGATGACGGCCACGAAGAGATTCAGCATCAGGAACGAGCAGAAGAAGATGAACGAGACGAAGTACGCGTATGCGAGGTTCGACCCGCAACCTTCGGTTTCGACTTTCTGCACCTTCAGGTCGCAAGGCCGACCTTTTATGCAGGACAACATGATGTTCGGCCACGCTTCACCCGTGGCACACCTGTGGATTATTAATTCATTTATTAATACACTCCTCGGGTACCATTTTCCCCGCCTAGAGTATACGATAAGCCGTGACAGTCTTACGTTAAAAATGAATTTACGTTTTTACACAATTTTACCGAAGCTTGGGGCGAACGCATGCTAGATTGTCGGGCTTTTGGTGTCTTTTAACCGAAGCAAGAAGCAAAGTCAAAGGATACTCGTCTGGCGGGACTTTTAGCGTGGGTACTCACCGAAAAAGCAACATCAGACCTTGGATAAAGCTCTGGAAATTGTTGTGCTCGTTTATGGCACTCTCGGCCTCCAATGCGATGTTACCGAATACCTGGTCCAAGAAAATAACGAGCCACGAAGGCCAATCACGAATTAGAACGAGATGTCCTCGATTTGATCCCTGGTTGAGGCTGCTGGTCGAGTGATTCTCTTGTTTTCCAAGAGTTTGATACAATTTCTTATAATCAAGGGTAATTTAAAATAATAATAAATCTCATTTCGCAGGACATATGTTCCTGCTGGTCCAGATTGACATCCGAAGCTGAAGACTCAATTATCTGCGGGGCTCTACATGATTCTGCACTGAGAAAAATCATTCATTTAACCGAAGAAATATTTTGTTAATTTAAAGAGTAATTGTTTGACTAAAATAAACTCAAATGTGTTGTCATAATTCCGAAGGAATGTTGGATCCAATTTATTCCAGTTAATTTTGGACAAATAATTATTCTTTAAATTAACAAACCATTGAATCATATCAATGAAATATACTTCTGGTTCAATGGAATTTTTTTTCCAGGGTAGGTACGCGACTATTGTTACAATTGCGCCAACTTTTGGGTTCTAGCGATACGTGGCGTTCCCAAATTCCAAAACTACTCAGAGTTAAAGTCGAAGCCGAGGATAAATGATCCCGTAAAGAGACAACTGTTTGTTCCGAGGTGAAAGCGCAGAGAAATCGCAGGGATTAAATTTTCAAGGCGCAGACTTTCTGTGTCAACGCGTTTCATTTGCCTCTTCGGATCGATCTTGAGTAAAAAGCGTAAGTTTACGGGAAGTTCTTTAATTACTGCTTTAATAGTACTTCATTCGCGGAAACTAGCTGCCTACTGAAACAACTGTTCAACGGGTTCCTTTACATCGGACGAGCATGCATGGAGCGGAAGTTCTGCAAAGGGCGCAATAAAAATAAATGGAATCGTCGTCTCAGTGTCGGATAGTTTTTCTTTTTTTTTTCGGGTACCAGCGGTTTCATTCGTCTTTATATACTTTCTTTGCGATGATAAAATGTTGCTTGCACATGCACGCTCGTTCAATGATCACCAAAATACAACCCCTCCCGTGTTGCTCCACTCACCGGAAGAGCAACATGAGACCACCGAAGAAGCTCTGAAAGTTGTTGTGACTATCGATCGCCGTCGCTGGATCGTTCGTAATGTTTCCGAAAACCTGAATATAAAATTCCTCGTCACTATCTCGGGAAAAAGTTCAGCGAAATTTCCCCTTAAGAACCTCTCCTCTCCCCTATAGAGTGCGGTTAACTCCTAATCTTGTGGTTAAAGAATTAGGCTGGTGATAGGAATGTAAAAGAATCGTAGAAAAATTCACCTGCATTCCGATGATGGCGTAGATGAAAAAAAGCATCGCGATGAGCAAACAGACGTAAGGAAGGGCCTAGAAAGAGAGAAACAAGAGTTGGCATTGATAAGTTCATTTTTAATACATGGATTAAGGTGATATGAAAATGACGTCTGAAGAGTAAATCATTCGCGATTTTATCATGTAATTATGGAGGCCCCAAGGTTCGAACACCCATGAAATTTCATATTTTATAAAAAAATGTGAAAGAGTAAATCATTCGCGATTTTATCATGTAATTATGGAGGCCCCAAGGTTCGAACACCCATGAAATTTCATATTTTATATAAAAATGTGAAAATGTTTATAAAACTTTTCTCCAAACTGCGTGCACCGAATTATCTGAAACTTTAACACGTGACTATGGAGGCCCTAAGAAAAAACGCGATGCCCGTGAAATTTCATTTTTCGAAAAAAATTTCTTTTTTAGTTCATATTCGAGATAAATACAAATTTTTTTTTCGGACAAATGAAATTTCACAAACATCGCGTTCTTCCTTAGGATNTTCTTTTTTTTTTCGGGTACCAGCGGTTTCATTCGTCTTTATATACTTTCTTTGCGATGATAAAATGTTGCTTGCACATGCACGCTCGTTCAATGATCACCAAAATACAACCCCTCCCGTGTTGCTCCACTCACCGGAAGAGCAACATGAGACCACCGAAGAAGCTCTGAAAGTTGTTGTGACTATCGATCGCCGTCGCTGGATCGTTCGTAATGTTTCCGAAAACCTGAATATAAAATTCCTCGTCACTATCTCGGGAAAAAGTTCAGCGAAATTTCCCCTTAAGAACCTCTCCTCTCCCCTATAGAGTGCGGTTAACTCCTAATCTTGTGGTTAAAGAATTAGGCTGGTGATAGGAATGTAAAAGAATCGTAGAAAAATTCACCTGCATTCCGATGATGGCGTAGATGAAAAAAAGCATCGCGATGAGCAAACAGACGTAAGGAAGGGCCTAGAAAGAGAGAAACAAGAGTTGGCATTGATAAGTTCATTTTTAATACATGGATTAAGGTGATATGAAAATGACGTCTGAAGAGTAAATCATTCGCGATTTTATCATGTAATTATGGAGGCCCCAAGGTTCGAACACCCATGAAATTTCATATTTTATAAAAAAATGTGAAAATGTTTATATACAAATTGAAATATTTAATTTTGTAACTGTTAGGACCTTCTATAGGGTTTCCGTATTCACATAGTAAAATTTCACACGATTCGGTAGACTCAATTTGGGAGAAATTTCATAAATGAGACATGCGTAATACGTTGTTAAATGGCTTTTACTCCGACTTTTGTGGTGGAAAAATATTAGAATAATTTTCAATGTCAAACCTTAAAGGACTGTACGAAAGTCCACAGTAAAATTCGTATTGTGTAGCCCTGTCTGAGCAGCTTGATGAGTCTGGCAGCTCGAAAGAGCCTGAGGAAGCCGACGTTGATGAAGTTCTCCTGCAAGGGGCAGAGAAAATTGCACTTAACCAAAAACAATAGTGACTCGTTATTTGTGCTACCGGAAGCGACTTCACGTGTGCGGCGTGTCAGCAGGTGAAAAATGAGTTTATTGTCCTCGGTTATCAATTATCAGCGGACACGCCGCATACGTGAAGCTAAATAACAGCGAATAAATTGGGTTTGTGTTCATTCCTTTGCGCAGCTGAAGCCGAGGGAAAAGGTTGTTCAGAAACACCTCGTCGACGACGTATTTCTCTACCCTCCACCCTGTGGAATTCCAATCACCCCTTTTTAGAAGGGTGAAACAAGCCTTCGGAAATTAATCGATGGTTAAACGAATTAATTGGAAACGCCCGGCTGAGTAATTTCCATCGAGCGGCGCCTGAATGGATTTTGAAACATCGATTATGAATCGGGCTTACGAAAGCCGCGGATCATTTTCCATAATTTTCTGGGGTGGAACGGGGTTAATGGGAAATTTGACAAGAGTCGGTTGTGCCGCTTCCATGGACGAGGGAATTTTTCGGAATCTTTTCCGAGGTGTTCTCCGTTGCAACAAGTGCAATTGCTGCGGAACTCAAGATTGCAGCGGCCGAAAGTTTGCAAAATTCGAGAACTCGAAACAGAAGATTGGACGAGGAATCGCTTAAACTGTTACTTTATTTCCGGTTTGAAAATTCTTCTTGTGAGAGAAAAACCAGTGGAAAATGTTTCGTTTGAGTTGTCGAGTGACTGCTTCGTAAGCGATTCCAAGTGATGGTTGAAAACGCTCAAGTAAATTCAAAGCGTATTGTTTTTGGTTTCGTTTCTGGTAAGTGGTGTGTTATGTATAATGTATGTTGTATACTGTGTAATATACTGGTCGCGGAGATTACGGAATTAAATTAAATGTTAATAATTTAACGAAGTTTTTTCCTCTCTGATGAAATTTCTTAAGAATCAGGAAATCGGTTCTAAGGAAACCGAAGATGCTTCTCTTGTTTTGAAATTGAAACCAGAACCATAAAATTCATATTTTCTCGCAGGAGTCCCCCCACTTACCAAAAGAACCTGACTTCATATCGAGTACTTTATTCACAGCTCTCAATAAATTCAACATAAAATTATCGATGCTTCATTTCTATTAAAAAAAGGATGCTCAGCAGCAAAGCGCGAAGAGATTTCTCTGTCTTACCCTGAGCCATTGTTCTCCCTGTATTTTTTGGACGACAGAGAAAGTGTCCATTATGCATCCCAAGAGACAATTCAAGGCGATCAATGGATGTTTCAAGGTTTATTCAATAATCAAATCACTAGCACACCAATCCTACCTTGGCGACTCCTAAGACTTGCTACATTTTTACATCGACTCGAAAAGAAAAAATGGTCTCTTCAAGTTTCCAAAGGACAGAAAAAATTGCGAAAAATAAACATTGCGAAAATATACGGAGGAATGTAATTAGTGTTTTTTTCCATATAATTTGTTAAGTGTTCCGATCGTTATCATTGTTTTGTTAAGCTGGAAAAGAACTAAAATATGTTTTCTCTAGTTTTTTTTTAAGGTTCCAAAGGCCATAAAAAAAATTACAAAAAGTAGATATTACGGATTTGTAGAGGAATGTTATTAGTGTTTTCTTTCCTTGTCATGTAGTAAGTGTTTCAATGATTATCATTTTTTTTTTCTAGCTCTACATACCCCGAATTCCACCACAAGGGCGTCCACGATGCTACCGATGACCGTGATGAAGTCAAAGGTGTTCCAGGGATCCTTGAAGAAGTTCTGCTCGGACAGATAAGGTATGTTAGAAATTGAAAATTAATTGGATCATCGACTATCCCATACAGTGTCGAAGAAAATAGAAACATCCTAATAATTATCATTTCATACCGCGCCGAGGGAATTACAAATTTACTTTGGATATTCCATTTTGACCTGCCACAAAAACTAATATTTCTGTCAAATTCATTGAACCTTTAGTATATCGAATTTCAAAAATGACCCTTTCTTGCCTTTCCTCGTTAAATTGTATTTTTTCTGTGTCAATTTTTAGTGTCATTCATGTTGAACTAGTACAGAATTACTGCAACGATTTGGTTATTTCCGGATCTTGAAATTAGGGGATTTTTTTCGACACCGTTCGAGATAATCGCGAGTGTCGATGTATGCAGTCTACCTTCTAATTTGATTACCAAATCCAAAATCTTGAAAGCATGGTCGCTCAAGGCGCAATGCGAACTAGTGCGAGTGCCTGTGTGTGTGTAAGTGCGTACATATTCGTGTCGGTGTGAACCGTCTTATTTGGAGTAAATTGCACCGGACACTAAACCGTATAAACGGCATCAATAAAATCATGAAATCCCCCGATTCGTACAACAATGAACAATATTAATTGTTTAATTCATTAACGGAATTAATTTTACGTATTCCTGGCACATTTATACGATTTAGTGCCCCGAGGGTGCACGTGTAGAAGTGTGGTCGTGTAAAGTTTGGTAAGATAGAAAAAGAGCCAAAGACGATCGCAGCTGATCGATCATCTTACTTTCGACGAGCGATCGAGTGAGTAAATCGGGATCTCTCTAAAGATGATCTACGGGAGCATGCCGGTCATAGCAAGCAAGAGAAGAATCTCGACTCGGTGCTCTCCTCGGAATAGGTTTTATTCGACTTCTTTTCGACATCCGGTCGAATCTCGAAGAGAAAGGAGAAGTTCTCCCGAAGTTTCGACAAACTCAATCTTCCCCCAGAAATTTAATTGATTCCCAATTTTGAAATTTTCGCATCACAGGAAGTTACTTCGGACATCGAAGAGTCATCACAAAATCAGCTGTGCAAGTAATCCCACTCTTTTTCAAAATTTCCTTATCAATCCCGATTTTAAAGGGCTCGCGTTAAAATCAACGATTTTTACGTTCTTAACGATTTATCATAAAAATGCCCGGATAATGAATGTCCATCCTTTCTCTCGACTCGACTCGATTTTCTCGCGCGCCGGAAATCGCCGGTAATCGCACTCCCTGCCGTACTGACGCCCCACCGGAAATCGGCGAAAGATCGACTTATCGACTTGTGGACCCCGAGTTAGGTGTATATACGTGAAAAGTGGTGTCAGATTAAAGGCTTCTCAGTACCTTGCATCCGAAGGCGATGAGTTTAAGGATGCACTCAATGAAGAAAAGCAGGGTGACGACCAAGTTCACGATGGTCAAGCTGTCCAATAGAATTGGCGGCGCCTCGTGATACTACAAAATACACCCAACACACAGACGTAACACCCAGGTCGTGTCTAGACTTCTTTAGCCCACCCCCTGCGTTTATGTACCTTGGCTTGGAAAAGTTAAAATTCATTCACGGAGGGGGGAGAGTATATCTATATACATAAGTCTCATGATATGCAAATATTGGGGTCTATAAACCGAACCTCGCCGCTCAAAAATGCTCCGATTCCTCGAAATCGTCCGCGCCGTATATTTCTAAAATCTTCGAGAATTTAGATTTTCGCTCGATTTACGCTTTTACAGGTACCGCGACAATTTCGAAGCGCGCAGACTCAAAAACGATATTTAAGTATTGTTTGAAACATTTAATCATTTTTATTTCATCACCGGGTTATCATGAAATCGACTGCACGCTTTGAAATTATTTCGTAAAAGCACCGATCGGACCCACATGCAACCATTCGGGGTGTCGAGGAACGAGTGCATTCAGGAGGGCTTTTTTCTAGGGAGACTCAAGACCAGGTTCGGGTTCGATACACATTGGATATACTTCAAGGTTAATGCTTCATCGCAAACTTCACGCCCACCCATTATCTACTATTGGAATTAAAATTGGCCGAACGAAGCCTGGTCGGGGCTGCAAATATTGTTCTTCACCTCCCAGTCAACATGGCCGCCGCCTGAAGGGCGTGGGTTAATTATAAAATGAAATTGGATTTCCAATGTAAAATTAAGACGCTCCAACTAGGTGGACCCAGGCAACAGTGGTCTACTTCGTGACCGACTCCAATCAACGTTCTTCATGTTAATTTCCATTTATTTTACGGATTTCTCGGAAATCCTGCGGAATTCAACGATGGTTCCCCTTTATTCATGGGGGTCTAAGGAAGCTCCTCTTCCGGTGCCTCCTCGTTCTTCATGGTCGGGACTGCCTTTCGCAATCCTCGATCCTACGATCCAGCCATCCATGCTCTATTGTACGACCTCGGGTCGATTTGTCATTTGCGATTGGTTATCATTTGCGATTTATCGTCACATCGCACGAAAGGCAGGAAGCATGCAAGAGGTGAGTGGGATGTCTCTTCGGGGTTGACATCGTTCCTCACCCCGCGATTTACTTGAGCCCATTTAAGACACACACACTGGCGTGTTAACTCGCATGCAGGGTGTGACAATTTTGACATGCGTTCTTGACATGCTGATGCAGGGGGGAAGTCATGCAAGGGGCTGGACGAGCATGGGGTTTGTTCCAGTTGGTGGTTCATTTCTTTCTTTTTTTTAAACATTCGTTCTTATCTCTTCCCTTTAGGAGGTCTCGAAATGAAAAATTGAAAGGGGGAGAGAGTGAAAAGAGAGACAGATAGGGATGGACAGATAAAGAGAGAAAGACCAACGCAAAGTTAACCACTCGTGAGGGTATGTCATGACTGAATTTTCGGATGTCAATGTCGTGTGTATATGTGTGTACGTGTGTATGTATGTGTGTGCACGTGTATGTGTCGTGTCGCTCATACGCGGAAGCAATGCTCGATGAAGCATCGAAGTGTCTATTTGATCATCCACTTTATGCTCTTTTTTATATTCTTTTTTATAAAAAGTCATATCGATTACTGATTTAAAGAGATTCCCGTCTTATCATCCCAGGTTGCGTCGTTACTTATACTAATCATTACTCCATGAAGTTGCTCAGACTCAAATTATTAAAGAGCATAAAGGAAGATACTTTTCGCACTCGATACCTCCTCGTCTACTAATAATTCTCATGGTGTAACTATCGTTTTGCATGGCCGTACTCTTGTCATGGCGGTCCACCGAGTCCGATGCAGCGAGCGGTTCATTTATCAAACAAAAATAAATTTAAGAAACTTTATGAATATTCGAACACAAAGTTGCTTTAAGGACTAGATTTTTCGATTATTGGCGGCAAGCAACTCGCCCCGGAAAATATTATAAAGGCAAATGCACGAAATAAACTGAAAAACCATCCGTTCGGTAATCCAAGATGGCGGCCGCAGTGAGCATCGGACGCCCGGCCGCCATGACAGCGTCACCGTCCCACAAAGCGTACCTACGTACATCGAGATATGTAATATATGTGTGCTGATATGCGTGTGTAACCGCGCGTATATATATATATATATATACACATCCAGAAGTATATATATATACATATATATATATATACAAATCTAGGTATATCTTGCGAGTCTTTAAAAGCAAACGCGCTAGACGTTCACTAATAAGCGAGACTTACCAGCCTGTAAGAAAGAACGAATTCCGTGACGTTCCCCTCAGAAGGGGTGGACAAGGAGAATCGAAGGCTAGACCGGAAGCGACATTCGCGGGCGAAAAAAAGAATATACAGGGCCACTCGCGAATATTTTTTCTCTTTTTTTTCGGGGGGTAGAAGGAAACGCCACGCAATCTCAGTTCCAGGGAGATATGAACGCCCTTGGGGGGGCGCGGGGGCGGGATTTCAGGGTTTCGGGGGAGAGCTTACCCTGAAGCCGAAAGCGACGATCTTCAGAATGCACTCGATGGTGAACATCCCGGTGAAGCATATGTTCATGTACTTCAGTGTTTTCTGGTAGAGATCTCCCTGCCGGTGGTACTGCAATGCACACACTCACGAACACACGGCCGACAGAGACAGACAACGGACATACACAAGCCTACTCGCCGACATGTCGGGGATTTTTTTTTCATGTTCTCATTTTACCCCCTTTTTCCATGGAAAAAAAATGGCGAACCGAAGAAGTCGGCCGGGTGGGAAATGGCCGTTCGAAGGAATCCCTGTATAAATACGTGTATTTCGGGGAAACAGGGCGAAAACGCGTCTGATTTTTGAGAGGGATATCTTCTGGGCGAAAATTTGGAAAGTGGGGAAGTTTTTATATTCTGCACTATTTTTGACTTTTTTTCTTTTCCCTGATCGGTAGACACGCGATTGGGGGGCTTGCAGTGATAGAGGCAAACGTCCACTTGCAGTAATAGAGGGGAAAATACGATGATCGTGGAAATTAATCTGAAACACATATCCGGGTGTCAACGGGTCACTCAGGAGCCGATATCGGTGGTGATTGGTCTTCTTCATAATTTAATACATCGATTAGTTCTACGTGGATCAGTGGGCGTTCGTGCGTGTTTGACGTGTGGATTGTCAATGGTAATTCCGCGCTTTGGCCGGGGGACTTGTGTACACGTTAACATCGTGAAATGTTGTATCTTTCCCTTAATTTTGTCTCGAGGATTTTGTATCATCTCATGGAGGTGTGTTCGAATGGGTGGAGGGGTCCCTTTCTGATGTCGGATTCCGAGTTTGCATTTTTTATCCTATTTTCAAACCATTTTTCGAGCTTCCGGATCAACCAATCAATCTTAACTCGTCACTTTCCATGCCCGATAGAAATTTTCTGCTGAATAATGTCAAGCAGTGACGATGAATATCAAGTAAAAAGAAAATGCAAGCTTGGGGTCTGATAACAAAAAGGAAGTGGTGGAGATTTCGATAAGACCACTCGGATGAGGAGCGACGACGAAGAGCTCGAGTTTCAATCTTCAATCTGAACATTTCCTGCGATCCGAAAGAGGCGTCCGAGATAATGGACATTTTTGTTTCCTCAATGGAAAGTCTCTTGAAATAATTCGTCCCTGTTCGTCGTCGCTGCTCCGCGTTTCCGGTCATTTTTCTGGTAATTAAGTCGGGTGTCTGAAAGAACGGAAAGTCGATTAGTGCCGTGGATGAACCAACGAAAGAGACGAACTAAAAGCAACGGTTTTGGTCTCGACCTCGAACTAAAAGTCACACAGGCGTTAAAGAAAGGAAGAGCTTTAGCTTAAATTTGTCTCCTGGACGAGAGGGATTTTCGGGACGTGGAGAATTTCGGGGTCCTCTTCGAGGGCTAATTCGTGTTCGAGCAGATGCCCCGTGCAAGACATTGGCGTGTGGAACATTCAAAGAGTTTGCCTTGATTGCTCATTTGTCACTTGCTGCGACAGCTAGCATGCGTGGCTTTCCCGTCTGCACAAATGTAATTGGAGGACGCGTCATTCTTTCAGACAAATCTCGACATTTTGCCCCGACATCGACAAACAGCGTCTAAAACCTTTACATCATAAGAGTCTATTTTTAGAAAACTACTAATACCCGCTAAAAGTATTCCCTTTAAGTTTAAGTACCCTTTAAGAGGATATAAAAGTGGCATCTAAAAGGCGAATCGTTCGTGAAACTTTTCTTCGAACTAAATGTAATCGTTTCAGACTTTACAACGTGAATATGAAGGCTATAAGGAAGGTTCTGACCCCTATAAAGTTTTACTTTTTTTAAAGTTTGGTATAAGAAGTGAAATTTCATGGGTGTCGGGACCTTCCTTACAGCCTCCATATGCACGATGTAAAATTTGAAACGATTCGGTACACCCAGTCCGGAGAAAAGTTTCATGATAAAGACCCCTTTCATGCTACTTTCACATCGCCTTAAATGTTCAAGGTAAAAAAGCTTGTACGTCCTAAAATAGTGTCTTCGGTATGTTTAAAAAATCCCGTGTAAATACTAGCATTGACTTAGAACCTGCTGATTTTTTTTTTTCCCAGTGCCAGTGCATGTGCTAGTCTTATCAGCTTTTCCTTATTCTGGTAACGATCGCGAGATGAAGCTAATTAAATTTTATCAGGCAGGCATTTTGCCGTGCTGCGGTGCTCAGTCCGGAGAAATATAACCCGGAATACCGTGTCATGTAAATCGAGTATTCCCGATTGCATTTAGGCATCGATATACAGTCCTGGCGAATGAAATCGATGCAAACGACTTCCTGGTAGGCCCGACAGGAGAGGTTCTCGATGACGAAACGGAGGAAACGAGCATGGCGAGGAAGAGGTCGCCCTTGTGCAAGGTTCTCTTCCTTTCGGAGCCCTTTCTACTGTTTTGTTGTACAGTCAGCCCTTCGATTTTTTGTACAGTTAGTCAGCCGGGGAAGAAGCGAGTGTTCGGTGCATCACTGCATTTTGTGCGTCCAGTTTTTGGGTGGGTAGCGGCCGTGGTGCAGTGGGATGCAGATGTGAATAAACGTCTAGTGTCTACTGACAAATGTGTTCCGCTGTGACAAAAACCTACGAACGTAACCAGGGCACGATGCTAGCCATGCAGATTCGTGGTGGAAAGAAAACTGGTGGAAAAAGGGGACGAATGAGAAGAGGCGAGGGAGGGAGATTCACGATGCATAAACTCGAGATGCAGACACGACGTTTTGTTCTTCGTTGCGCCTCTGCATGTCTCCGAAGGACGGAACTGAAATAAACTAAAGTCGATGTTTTAGGACAAATGAAGAAATGAAAATGTGATGGTCAAAGTTTGTTGATCAGGAATATCAGATATCACCGTGAAGCTGTCGGATACAGAAATGGATGATGCTAAAGGGACCAAGGGATCAAAAAGAGCTTCTCACGAGACTATTGATTAAAGTAACTCATCTCTTCATTACATTAACAATAAAACTCAATTATATAACTGATAATTTAAGTAGATGTGAATGTGGCATCTGAGGGGTCAAACATTCATGAAACTTTTCTCCAACCTGGATGAGCCAAATCGTTTTAAACTTTACAACGCGAATATGGAGACGATAAGGAAGGTCCTGATACCCATGATATTTCACTTTTTCTTTTAAATTTGGCATAAAATATGAAATTTCATTGGCGTCGAGACCTTCCTTATAGCCTCCGTAATCACGTTGTAAAGTCCGAAACGTTTCGGTACACCCAGTTCGGAGAAAAGTTTCATAAATGAGCCCTCTTTGAGGCCACTTTCAGGTCCCCTTAACACTTAACACTATTTCTACCAAAGGTGTCAAAAGACACCTTTTAAAATTTTAACTTGAAATTATTTTCAAAGTTTAATAATTTTCTCTCAATTAATGTTTTGAGTTTTCGTATAATAATTGTTAAATTTATTTAGCGGTATCATTTTCCTCCAGCTCGTCAAAACATTCTGGTCAAAACCTTTTGGTCGAAATAGGTATACACAAAATCGTGGTAGAAATATTGTTAATAGTAGAATATGGAATAAATAAGACCCAATGATCATCTGTCATGATGTTTTGCAAAATTACGATTACATTCTCGTGATGAAGTTGCGAACGAAAAATTATAAGATTGAAAGAGAGGAGAGAAAGGGTAGAACAGGAGGTGAACGAATGAGGGGATGAAACCGACGTAACAGTATGTGTATGTACGTGTGTGTCATAGGTAGACAGTTATATGTCACAGTTATACAAAGAACACACAAGTCATCAGGCAAGTACAGCAAAAACTTGTATAACAGCGATATATATATCGTTAATATACACAGGTCGCAGTAACTCCCGGAATTTCTTTGCAGCAATCGCGGGAACGAGACTCTCGGGTTTCTTGAAGGGGTTTCAAAGCCATTTGCCAGACAGACAGACGGAGGAAGAGCGAGTTCACACGAGACAGAGAGAGAAAGAGAGACAGAAATAACGAGGGAGAGGACAAGAGACAGCGAGGGAAAGAGGCGGCTATCGAAAAAACGAGGAGTCAAAATGTCCGATCCCCTTCCATTGGGGAATCTGTGGTCGACATCAGTCGTATGAATGTCGAGGAACAACGAGATCATCGACTGGCACGAGAGAACAAATGTCGCATTATTTGTCGTACCCGAGTGGGGTCGTCAAGATGGCTTACCTTCATCATCAGCAATAAAGTATTAAGCACGATGAGGATCATGATGAAGTACTCGAAGGGCGTCGACACGACTATCCTCCAGATCTTGTACTTGACGCTGTTTCGCTTGTTGGGCATGTACCTCTCGAGAGGACGAGCCTGTATCGTGAAGTCTATACAAGATTTCTGTAAATGCAATACAAAATGTGAAGGTTTTAGAAAACGGAGTACCTTCAATTCCTTACAAAAAGTGAGATATTTAAGGTGATACGAAAGTGGCGAACAAGGGATCTCGTTCACGGAACTTTCCTCCGAATTACGTATATCGAATCGTTTGAAATTTTATCACGAGAACGTGGAGGCCCTTAGGAAAGTCCTGGTACCCATAACATTTCTTTTTTTCTTTAATTTATTTATAGTAATTTATAATTTTTGCTATAAAAAGAAATTAAATTTCATGGGCGTCGGGATCTTCCTTACGGTCTCGATATTCACGTGGTAAAATGTCAAGCGTACTTTCAGTTCGGAGAAAGGTTTCATAAATATCTCTTCAGATGCCATTTTCATACCGCCTTAAGCGATTTATCGAGTGTTTCTTCGGGTACCTGGTTCTTGTCGATCTCGCCGTCCTGCAGCTCAGCCTCTCCCTGCTCCTGGAAGGTGATGATGATCAAGGCCACGAAGATGTTGACGAAGAAGAAAGGAAAGACGATGAAGTAGACTATGTAGAATATGGACATCTCGATGCGAAAGTTCTGAATAGGACCCTTGTCCTCGTAGGTCGCCGCCATCGAGTTCTGGAGGATTTGGGGCCAGCCCTCGCCGGTCTGGACCGCGAACAACGTCAGCATCGCCGCCATGACATTGTCGTAGTGAAAGCTCTGCGGTTGCCACTCTCGCTTCCTCGAGGATGGCAGTAAGTTACCATCTTCGAATACGAAGTACTGGCCGCTGAAACGTTCAATGGTCGAAATTAATTATAGGTACTAGTTGCGGCTCAAGGGGTTAGTCTACTGTAACAGATAAAAAAAATAAGCGTTTCTTAGTCGCAAATTTACAGAAAAGCATATTTTTAAACATTAACGTAACCGTATCCAATTTTCTTTAAAATAAACAATTTTCAATTTATACAGTTAGAGTTGGGTAATTACAAATCAAGCAAGTCTGCGCACCGTTGTCGAAAGCGTTGTTTCAAGAAAACTGTATTTTTGAATTTGATAACACAATTACGCCATTTCATTCCAACCTTTCGTAGTGTTACAAATAATCTGCTATTCCAGTTTCAGGTGCACAATTTTGTCATTTTTTAAAATTCTACAGTAGGCTAACCCCTTAAGAACAGAAGCTAAAAGTCATTCGAGGTGGTTGCAAGCCCTCAAAGGAACTGTCGCCCCTCAACACCCTGAAATCACTCTTATCGTTCCAAAGCTTCCAATCACCCAAGTTAATACTCACTGGCACTCTTCCTCCGTGTACTTGCTGTCGTCGCTACAGAAGAAGAACTTGCCATTGAAGAGCTGCACCGCTATCACAGCGAAGATAAATTGGAACAATATGTACACTATCAGAATGTTAATAACGTTTTTCAGACTGTTCACGACGCAGTCGAACACCGCCTTGAGCTTGGGCACTCGTTTGATCGTCTTCAAGGGTCTGAGCACTCGCAGCACTCGCAACGACTTGATAGTCGAGAGGTTTTGCCCCGCGGAACTTCCGGTCATGTCGAAGGCGAAAGAGACCGCGGCGCATATCACCACAACGGCGTCCATAATGTTCCAGAACTCGCGGAGGTACGAGCCCGGATGAAGGATGATCCCCAGATCGATGATCTTCAGGATCATCTCGACGGTGAACACCCCAGTGAACGCATAATCGAAGTAATTCAGAACCTCATTCCTCATCGAGTGCTCGTCCACAGGGTCCTCGGCCGCCAGGGCGATACTCGAAAGGGAGATGACGACCATGATGAAGAAGTCGAAGTACCTCAGGTTTACGACCCAATGAGCACCTCTTCTTACACTGAAAGGAGCGTTTCTTGGATTAGTACATTGTTACGTAATTACTTGCCGCGGACATCGTAGAAGAAGGTACTCACGGGTTTGTGGGGGACAGTATAAACATGGAGGAGTATGGCAGCATTGGTTTTGGTCCCGTGTCTTCGTCGTCATCCTGCTTCTTTTCTTCGGACGCCTGCTTACCGCCCTTTCCACCTTTGCTGAGGTTGGGAGGTCGAAGGAAGAGTGCGGTTAATGATCGTTCGTCAGGATATTGCACCGAGCGAAAAATTTACTTTCTAGACGAAATTAATTACTGACCGAAGAAATTTCTTGGCTCCAGCGGAATTGATTCCGTAAGAATCATCATCAAATTGAAATAATGGTTAATACCTTGATCTTATTTTGTTGATACTAGCCAATAAGGATCTACTCGTCACAAGAATTACTTTTCTTTTTTCGCTAGAAAGTGATTTTTTCGCTCAGGGTGTTGGAAATAGGACTTATCGACGAGTGGACTTACAAGTTCCTAGTCGGACTAGGAGGGCAAATCTCCACCTTCGGAGGACTCCCATCGGTTGGCATCTGCAGGGCCTCCATTTCTTTCTCCAGCTCCTGCATCTGCTTCTCTTTGTCCTCCTCTACCTGTTCCTCTTCGGCGGCAGTCAGTTCCTGAGCGTTGGCCAGATTGTCGACGGCGATAGCCAAGAAGACGTTAAGTAGAGTGTAGTTGCCGAAGAGTACCAGGATAATGAAGTAAAGCGAGTAGATCATGCCCTTCTTGTGGCCACCCTGAGACTCGATGCCCTGGTACATGACCTCGTTCCAGTCTTCACCAGTCAGAATCTGCGAAACACAACGATATCAAAACCGTCATCCACCCTGAACCATCCTCTAACCATCTAACGATCACATATGCAGACTACCAACTGCAAGAATGGACGGGAAGGCTATTCGTAAATTAATCTTTCCCTCCTTCAGCAATTCACCGGTACATTCCAATAATTTCTCCACGTCTACACTTTCCGCATGCAATTGAGCATTGCAAGTACCTAGCAGCCAAATTTCGTGTCGCGTGGTCTCTCATTTTCCATCTTTTACGTTCGTTTCAGATCACCACCGGTCGACCCGTACTAATGTCTGTGTTTACTTCCCTGTCTCCACCGATTTGAATACTCTTCAATTCCATTTATCCTTCCTGGGGGCGTGTTGAACTTACTTGGAAGACAGTGAGCAGCGCGATAGGAAAGGTGTTGAAGTTCGTGGGCGGTGTGCCGCTGGGGAAGTTGAACTGGCCGCCGAAGAGCTGCATACCAAGGAGGGCGAATATGAGGATGAAGAGGAAGAGCAGGAAGAGTAGGGAGATGATGCTGCGCATGGAGTTGAGCAGAGAGATGACGAGGTTCCTCAGGCTGGCCCAGTATTTGGTCACTTTGAAGATCCTGAGGAGTCGCAGGGCGCGCAGGACGGAGAGGCCGAAGGAGCCGGATTTCAGGGCTGACCAGATCACCTCGAAGATCGAGCCCGAGATCACCACGCAGTCGAACCTGTTGAAGCTCGACTCGAAGTAGATTCGAGGGCCCAGCGCGTACATCTTGATGAACATCTCCATCATGAAGAGTCCCAGGAACACGAATTCGGCGTAATCTGAAAAACGGTTATTTTCTTATTAAATAATTCACACATTCAGGGTAAATTTCAGGATGGAGTAAATTCTTAAACGTTTCTGACTCGTTTCTTGATTTTGTCAGATATCTGAACTTTCATTTCAACATTCATAGCACCTCGGATAGGATCTTTCTGATACCCCACTCCCGAATTGTGGACCCTTGGCGTATAGAACTCGGTAGAGTTTCGAGCCAAATTCGTTTGAGCGAGGAACAGTTTTTTGATCGCTTGATCTTCAGAGTACTTAACCGAATATTTTATAATTCTCGTATATTTATTCTTATAAATCACTAATCCTTTGTATTACCATCTACATCAAGCTGCTTCTCGAAAAGGTTTAACCATCCTTGAACTCCCGAAATAAAACATTGATTTTTTACAACCGCTCAAGTTGAGAAGTTACAGACCATAGTTCGATGTTTCACGAGTCCATTGACAAAAATTTACATTCTATGCGTAAATCCGACATTGCAAGCGATACGTGGACGGAATGTCGTTAGTACCAAACTGACAATATTTCCCCCAGATTCGGAGAAAGGTTCTCAGCGGGTCTTATATCCTATTTATCAATACGCAGTCACTTTGCACATCATCTCTTAAAATCAGTTACCGAGGATCCTATTAGGGCAGACAAATTGGCATTGGATTAATATTCATACGCGAAGGTAAATAACGTATGTAAATGGGATTGTTTCCACGTGTGGGTTAAAATGCAAAACACTTTCAGCCACGATAATTGGGGTCGTGGAAGTTCGGAATTGGGGTAATTCACTCACAGAGAAACTCGGTGAGCCATGACGGCTGCTTGTAATGCTCGACAGCCACGCAGATGGTGTTGAAGAAGACCAGTACGATGACGAACCAGTAGAACCACTGAGCTTTCACTGTGTGTCGCACCCAAAATCTGAATCTCTTCTCAGCCCGCCAGAATTGCAGACAGGCTCCTTTATTCTTCACCTTGGACTTGAGGTAGGAAGCTCGAGAGAACCCTACAATAACACATCCCGACATCAGTGGACACATATTACTCAACAAGACAAGAAATCAGTCCTGCAGATGTCCCAGTCACCCGAAGTTCCGTCAGCTCAACATCAACAATTAATTCCCCTTTCCCTCTTACATAAAAAAAATTTGTTTAAATATAACATTCCCGAAGAGAAACCCCAACATCCATTGAAATTAATTTAACAGATGATGTGTCGTCCCAGAGCATCTTCGTCACTGTCAACGTCTTCATCTTCGGTGTTAAAAAAAAAAAAATGTAAAATATTTCTTATATTTTTTATGGTTCGATCGAATTTAAGCTCGTAAATTTGAATAATTGGATGCAATTGTTGTAGGAAAAGTTTGAATTTGTTCACTCGGACTGGTAGGTAGAGACTTTAATGGAGCTTTTGAAGAGCGATTTTTTCGTCGTGGTCTCTGCAGGGGGTCGAAGTCGATTTCTGGACTTCTCTCTATAGATCCTTGGACCATCGACGACGGGACACGCATGTTCTAGTCTATGGTAACTCTCTACAAGCGGGGATACTATTTATGCTGGCATACCGTATCCAATAAATACTTGTGTACGGGTTTACTATAGTAAGGTGTGAGAGTGCCGCGACTCGAGGCGGGCTTCATCATCTTATACGGTCTAAAGGGTTAAACAGGCCGGATGGGGTGGATTCACAACTCTGGCTACTTCAAGTCAATCTTTCGACAATGCTAAGTCACTACTCGATCAACTGGATGTGCTAACTAGGACAGTCGCTTTCAGCTAAAACATTAATCGGCACTCCGCCGTCATCGGGCATACCTAAATGATAAGTGTACACTCACAGTGCGAGGCGATCGCAATTCGGCAATGATTTCTAAATCAAACATTAACACAAGCTCGTGATATTTTTCTTCAAGCAAGATAAACTATGAATGCCAAAGGGAAGATGGGTAATTTTTGTTTGACTCGATTATCCATTTTTGTAATTTTTCTTTTTCAAGACAGTCCTCTCAATATATTCACACGTTATAACGAAACGTTTCCATGATGAGTATCATTAGAAGTAAATCGGTATGTAGATTAAAATTCAAGATCACTGCGACAAATGCAAAAATTGACAAGTATTTTATGAAAATACCCTCTTGAGTAAATTACAAATATTTGAAGAAATATTTGTCACTCCGAGTAATAAGTTTTAACAAATCGAGCTGAGAAACTTATGATTTTTGATAAATTTAGAATTCATCATATTCGAGCTGGATTAATCGTTCTTACGGTTCCGATACATTAAAATTAGTCCTTGCGATTTATTCATTGCTCACGTTCAGATGATTCCATGACGAATGTTACCGGGAGTGAAGTAGTTAATTAAACTTAAAGATAATTTATAAGCGACCAAGTGCCGCCAAAATGGCGATCGCCTCGCGCGGCGAAAAAAATCATCATCGTCACACCAGCCAACAGAAGCAATACCTAGGAGAAATGAAAAATTAGTCGGTAAAGATCGAGTGTCATCGAGTAACAGGTCGCGCAAGATACAGCATCAAGGTCAATGGACTCGAAGAGCACGCGTAGATGCAGTAAACCGATAGACAGGTCGACAGAGACAGATAGACGGACGGATAAGTATATTAAAAAGAGACAGAGATAAAGAGATAGTATACTAGAGTCGCAAGATGATACAGAGAGAAAAATGAGTCGATAGCTACGTATCGATGATGATCGGCGAGAAGGCGAGGTTCTGGAGCCGTTAATTTCTTTCTCATCTTTCACGTATTTCGTCCAAGACCTAACGAAAAAGCGAGAATGGCGCAAACGTCGAGGTGAACTTCCGTAACTCTTCGTCCATCGCCCTATCCTGCTCAGCAATTAATATAACAGTCTCTAGCTACGCGGCCAACTCGACAATTGACAAGTGTAGTTCATAGCAATGGCGGCGCGTCCCAGTGGTACCGTACATACGTAATAGATACGCACGGGTGGGTGTAAGTGTGTGGTATGTACGTATATCTGCATATACAGGGGTACAGGGTGGACGTACACCCGTGTATATATGCATGTATACGTACGGCACGTATATATAGATATATATGTATATATACCAAGTGGGTGAGTGGGTTACTGACAATACGGCGTATTACTGGCGTACATAGGTCAGGGAGGCGAGACACCACGCCTCCCCCGCAAGAGCACAAACAGTTAGACAAAAAGTAAAACAATATGGTCCTTTACTCTTTTACGGTATAATACTGTTGCATTCTCGGTGGTAGTTACCTTTCAGTTTTTTCTTAGGCACTGAAACAAGAGGAGCATCTGATAGCGTGTGTTTAGAATGTTCATCGACAAGGTCGGAGGGCTGGGCTTTCGTTCAACGCGGGTCTGGGTGACGGTAACAAAGTAGTGACAATGACAAGGACCCGTTTTATGAATGAGAGAGAAAATGCCGAGAACCTGACGTATATATACTAAGAACTATGAAGGGTTGAGGTCGACGTCCCGAGTCAGCGCAGATTCCCGGAATTTGGGGAAAAGAGATGACTTTTTTGAGTTCTTCGCGTGACGCCGAAGAAGGGCGTCATGGCCGTTGCCTTAGCGACTGGGAATCAGCTGATCGCGATGCCGGCCAACTTTCTGCTCTCGATTAAAGGTCCGTACCGTAATCATCGCATAAATCCGAATATCGAGCAAGACAATAATATCTATTTTCAAGAGTCAATCAAAGTGTCAAAGGGTCCAACCAGCCAAGCGGAGAGGACAAACACAACTCACCATCGTCAGGGTCGTCTTCGCCTTCCTCTTCCTCGGTGTCGGTGCTTTTGCTCTTTCCGAGGTTTTTCAGCTTTTTCCGTTTGGCCGCCGCCCTTCTTCTCGCTAAAACAATAACAAGAGATTAGGAGGGATCGAGGGCAAATATTACGTGGGGCGTTATTTTTTAATCTTAGAATCGTATGTCATTATCTCTAATTATTATAATTTCTTTTGTTAATCTTGGAAAAGCGGATCGAGACAGTGGAAGTTTTTCGCCAACCCCGTGCATGTCTTGTGGTACATTGAGAAAAGAATTTAATTGAAACGACGAGATACTTCTTTGATTGGAATCAAAGAAATATTTTGTTAATTCGAAGATTAATTATTACAATGTACCTTCGATTATGTGCATCTTCTCCTCCTCGGTGGTCCTCTCCTCGGCAAGGATGACCTCCTCTGCGAAAAGAAAAGTCTCTTTTTCGATGAACGTCGCGACTCTTGCGGACCTACCGGGTCTACGGACATTTCGGTCGGAGGGACCAAAATGGCGGGCCTTGGTAGCAAGCTTACAGGGTCTTTCAGCGCGACTTCTTGACGCGATTTTTTGGCTAACCTGCTTTGCATATCCACTCGACGTAACCATTCAGTTCTCGTTCCAGCTGCTGGGCCCTCCTTAGCTTCAGGAAGGATTGCCGGTTCTCCACCTTCTCTCGCTCCTTCGCAAACTCTCTACAAGCGTTACAGAGGTGACAGGGGACGACGTGGGAACCCTATGGTGCCTTTCGGGGATCGCGATTTTAGCCCTTACTGCGGGTTCCATTATCTACCTTTCGATTCTTACGGATTCAAAATTCATTACCGATTAGCACTAATTATTACGAGACGTGTAGCGTCTGCAGGTGCTCAGGAGGACCTTCTCCCTCGTCAACGGCTACTAGAGACTTACTTCTCAGACATGAGCTTTACTTCTACACTTATTAGGGTAATAGCGGAATCATCAAGCCTCGCTGACTTTACAGTCGAAGCAGTATTTTAATTACTTCCAGCACTCGATATATAATTTGTAATTAATAACTTCGAGTTTTTTTCTGGTTTTCGTTGCCTTTGTACCGTGTCAATCCCAATTTTCTGTACAGTTTTAATTAAACCAATTTAAGGATTTTTGAGCTCGAGGAATTCGGTTTTAATGTTGCTTTTGCGGATCAATAGACCTTTTTTCGCAATAAAGTTAAGCGATACAATGAAAGTTAACAAGGAGCAAAATACTAGTGGTTCGATAATAGGAAAGAACTCCCATTTGCAAATGGCATCGCGGATTTTTTCTGAATTAGATTCGAATGGAAATTAATTTTTCTCTCGATTCTCGTCCATGAAGAGGGGTAAGAACGGCAATAATGCGACGTTCTCTTCGTGTAATCGGCTCGAAAGTGAGCGATGGAAACACCGAGCTGATAAAATCTATATTATAAATAAACAATTACCGAGAAGTGCATTTAACTAGATTCGCGAGTCGGAAAGTTTAATTACAAGCGCGACTGGGTTATGAAAGTGATTTCAATTGCGTAACACTTAATTGTCCCTTGCAAGGGCACCGGGCATTTAAACGGCTTTCAATTATAGAGCACAAAAGTGTCGTGCTATTAATTGAACTTTAATTACATGGTACAGAAGTAGCGAACAATTGATTTCCACTTTCCGGGAGAGTTTAGCCCATCTCTGCATAGGAGAGGGATTGAAAATTCTAGCTAGCTTACCAGGGCGAGCTTGTCTAAGATTTTCATAATTTACTTTTCAACTGGACTACCGTGATCTGAATTTCGAGAAACAGAGACCTGCTTGAGTGATCCATTTTAGGTAGGAACTGAACGCAGTGGTGAAGAGGTGCTTTCTCTTCGCTTTTTGATAGGCGGCTCGCCTTTCGACGCGAGTTCTTTCGTTAGAAAATTCCCTGACGAAAGAGAAAAAGACATTCCTGTGAATCGCGGAATCCCTTGTTGACCCGGCAAAAGGGCGCGTCGATAACCCAATTAATTCGAGCCCCTTCGAGATGTCTAAGGCTTTAAAAAAATCAGGGCTTGATAAGGGACGGTAATTAATATCAGTGCACTCACCCGCTCAGGACACCGAGAACTAAGTTCAGCATGAAGAAAGACCCGAGGACAATCAACGGTATAAAGTAAACCCAGTTGAATGTGCTGCCCAGAGCATCGTTCGTCTGGAAAATTGACGATCTCGTAAGTGAATCATCGATGAGGCCGACTCCGACGTGTGTACCACCCAGCGACATTGACATACACTTTGAAATACACTTAACATGTTTAAACATATACCGAGACAGATATCGACAGTGCGCAAAGCTTCGGAACCGCGACAGTCGATGCTTCGATCGTCATTGAAAGGATGAGAAATAAATTATGATAAAGAGAGTAATCACATTTATATCTTGAAACGTCATCAAGGCAAGCCGACGTCACCGCCCCAAAGCGCGACTTTAATAAAAAGAATTTAAATTATAGACAATATCTCGTATCGAAAATTTATTACGAAGAATTCTTGGGAAAGATCAGGACCGTCAAATGACAGGACGATGACGACGGCTTTGCTTGGGGATGTTTTTTTTTTAGAATCCCTTTTTTCACTCGTTCGAGCTCCTCCACCTTTCGAGTGAGGAACGTCGAACGATTTTCTTGGAGCTTGGTGGAGACAAGAGTGAACAAGAGTGAACAAGAGTGACGAGGACTGAAAAACTGACAGTGTTATACTGAGTAAAGTGAATATATACATCAGTGTTAGCTTTCTCGAGAGAAAAATGCAGTGGATTTTCCGATGACGGTCCGGCTGTCATCCGGCGGCCGAGTCGGCCACCGCGGCTGACAATGATCGATTGTCGATATTTTGACAGGTAGCCAAAAAACACACATAAGTACAAAGAGGTACACATAAAACTGCCAATCGTGTAGTAACATAAAACACGTGAAAGCCGTTTGGATGTTACGGCCGAAGCAACATGACCGTAATGAAAATACACACACCAAGATACGGAGGCAAACGTAAATGTGACATCGGATTAATCGAGTTCTCGCCTGGTAAGTGGCTCCCGAATTAAACGGAAATAGGAAGAATAAATAAAAAGAAGCCATTACGGTAAATACTGGTCAAGTTAACTTGATTCCTGGGCGTACCTTTACTCGTACTACTTGATCGAGTTGCCACTACTCCAAAGTATGACGATTTTTAATTTTCTATTTGATCCATTATAAAAATCTTGTACTGCTGCATGCCAAGATCCAGATTTGTCTCCGATGGAATATTTTCAAATCATTTATTTCACGGTAGAAAGTGTAAGAACCACCTTCCTTGCAATTTTCGTTAGTAATCAATATTTGCTTCCATTAAAGAAAAAAACACGAAGAAGCCATCCAGGCATACAATATAATAAAAATAAAATAGATCCGTGACAGCCACGCGCGTTCGAAGTAAAACTTCCAAGTTAAGAATAATGATTATTGATTATTTTTAATTATTCTTTCATGAAATTCCCTCACGCGTTCGATAATGACCGTTTTGTTTACAAAGTCGACACACAAAGACAACCATAAATAGTAAATGATTGTAAAAAGAAATAGCAAAACATACGCAAATTCTGTGCATGTTAATAAAGGTGATTATAAATAGTGGTTATCTGTAAAGAAAAAATATAAAGAATTGATTCACTTTTCGATTTACTCCCCTTTCTCAGCATGCGAACTCACATTTATCTTATCGTGGTATAAGAGGGTTCATTCCAAAAAGCAAGACAGTACCAAGCGAGAACTCTTCAGCGAAACGAGACAGCGAGGAGCGAGCTACCGTCTCGACACACAGATTGTTCTTTTTTTTTTTCTTCCAAAAATCTCGAAGAATTAACTAAAATAATAAAACACCGAACACCGTCGCCATTCGAGCTCGCTGCGCCCTGAGGGTGATGGCGACTCTTGGCGGGCGACAACGCGGAAGATTAATGCCAAGAGAAGAAGTTTAACACTGAGGAACATATCTCTTGCGTTACCCAGTACAATATGGCAGTCCAACCCTCCATAGTAATGCACTGGAAGACGGTGAGCATGGCGAAACCGATGTTGTCGAAGCTGGTGATGCCGCTGTTTGGTCCCTCCCAGCGATCCATACACGCTGAGACGCTGGGGTCGCATACGTGGGCTCCTAAAGGTGCCTCGGTCAAGTTATCCGTATTGCAAGGAGACGGAAATTCACCCTCCTTCACTATTTGATCTGCAAGAACAAAAAAAAGGATGAAACGTCGACAAGGGGGCAGCGGAAACAGAGGAAGCTCGTAGAGCGATAAATTAATTATTAAAACAATTATTCAAACGGAGAATTTCCTTCGATTTTTGCAACCTATGCGTCGAAGTGACGTGGAAAAGCTGCTAAAGCATGAATCCTGATGTTCTGGGCCTTAAGAATTATTTTAAATTGCACTTGTCTTGATTATGCTGTCTCAAATTTTGCTGTTTTCACGGGAACTGCTCAAGTTTATCGAAGAGATAAGTTCCATTGCGCAGGAGAGGTGAGATCAAATCGGATTCCTTGACGTCGAGGGCCTTGGAATTTGTTTAAGAATAAATGGACTGGGGGGAAATATTTAGAGTCCGGTGGAAGAAACCAGGATTGGTGTTGATGTTCAAATGGACGTTTGTTTCCTGATTTTTCTCTAAAAATCTCTATCAAGGTGCCAAGTTGTACTCACTGAGGTCTTCGATGCTGTAGCAAGTCTTGTGCAAAATTCCCGAATAGAACTCGAGGCCGATGATGGCGAATATCACAATGGCGAAGAGTACCAGCAGTCCAATCTGCAGCAAAGGTGCCATTGCCTTGATGATGGACTTGAGCACCACCTGAAGACCTGGTTGTACAAACACAAAAGGCATTATTCACGGTTCCCCGACCTGGAGTGTCGCGTGAGTTTCAATGTAAACTTTTCCTCAGGGACTCGGGCGACTACGGGACGTTTTATCGAAGTCACCTAACATCTTATACATTTTTCCCTTAGAAAATGAGGTAAACCCCTTCGGACATACTTCCCGTCCCTCTAAGCTCCTCCGCCATGAATGGACCCCCTCGGAAGTTCGGAAAAGAAAAAATCCACGGCGATCCAAATGCCTCCGAGACAATCTTCGGGAAACTCTTGACTTTCGATAAATCTCAGACGGCTCCCCTCGTAAAATTGCGAAACTTATGCGACGCTACCTTTCCCACTTCTCCGGAAAGAGCGGCCATCTTGCGGCCTCGAACCGTGTCCTCCTCTCGGTGCCTATTCTTTTACAATACCCTAAACCGGGAAAAATCTCTACAAATTCCCTGTTAAAGGTATTCACAAAATTCGTACACGTTTATTACCCAAAGTGGCAGTTAAATTATAAACTTGACGTTTCAAATGCGAATTAAGATACATTTAATATAAATTTCTCCGCGAATTCATAATTTTAAAACGTCATATCCTGAAATGGCGTTGAAAAACGATTACACTTACGTACCGAATTTATAACGTCCGCTATAAATTTATAAGATATGTAACCAAATCGTTTATAAAATTACGATAATCTTTTTAACAGGGTGTTTAAAAAATATCGTAGCTCGTTTTCTATGTTCGGCCACAAGTGCAGTAGCGTCGCACCAGGTGCATCGGAAATGAACACCGAAATTCAGGTACGACGAACATTGAAATTTTATTCTCTGTTCAGCCACTTGATTCGTACACTGAGAAAAAAAATGTCATCAGACCAAAGAAATAATGCTTTGACTCAAACTCGAATAAATCGAGTGCAACGTTTCTTCAAAATGGCAACAATTTATTCGAGTTTATCCGAGTCGAATAATTATCCTTTGAATGAACCAAATATTTCATTGTAACAATTCAAAGAAATATTTCGTCGGTTCGATGAATTTCTTTTCTCATATCCATTTATACCTACATATCCTCTTGATGTACATGTTTTTTTTTGTTTCTAGAGATCAAGACACCCAAAAATAAAAAAATAAATATCTGCCCCGTTCTCCAGAACGTCCCGTACTCGCCGTCACCCCCAGAGCTGGGTCGAAACTGGACCGAAAAGTGCTCGGTCCCTTTAAAGTGGCGTTTCTCCCAGCTCTGTCGACCCCCAGCAGCTTTCCGGCCGCTGGCATGTCGCGGTCGCAACTTTCTCAGAGGAATTGGAACTCTACTCACTCGGTATGCCGGAGACAAGTTTGAGCGGTCGTAACACGCGTATCGCGCGCAACGTGCGTAGGTCCATATCCAGGTTAATGCCTTGCGTGAACATCGTGATGAACCTGCCCCAAACACACACACCCCGCCACACTTTACTACCTACTACTCTATTACTCTAACTTTCTACTTAATTACTTAGGCTACGTAACTAGCGTCTAGCTTAGAGCGTTGATCACTATGGGAGAGGCCGACGGGCGGCCATGGTTTTCCGGAAAATCGTGGCTGGCTGAGGTAGAAATGACCATTTTTCAACAACTTCAATAGCCCTTTGACTGAGGCATTTTCGTAAAAGCTCGGAACTTTTGACATCTATCCATATAATTGCATGATACGACATACTGGACGTCGACAACTTAATGGGAAACTGGAGGAATAAACTTGGCTCACCGAGAATGAGGTAATTGTTGAGATCGTATTATCGATCTAAGTTTCAGAGAATAGAAAAGAACGAACATGGAAGAACTTTTATTCGTATTGTCGATTTAATTTTCTGAGAATAGAAAAGAAAGAACATGGGGAAACTTTTATTCCGCAGGTCGGAGCTGGGTTTTATGTTTCATGATCGATCATTTTCGGATTTTTTCACGGTGCAAAAAGTCGGGGATTCCAAAATTTCTCTAGGTTCGTCCTAAGTATTTAGTTTTGAGCCTTTAGGGTATTTTCCAGAAATGTTGTAAAGGTGCTTAATTAGGAGATATTTATTCTTCGCTGGTTGGGTTAAGGCGGAGTCAAAGATGAACTGCATGGCCTAGATCATGTACTTTTTTTATATTTCGCTTGTCTGAATATATATTTTTTTGAATCTTGGTTGTTCATAAAAAATCACGAGGAAGGCCAGCCACTGATAGGAAGGATCAGGCAGGACAGACTACGAATTCTGGCAAGGCCGATTAACGTCATCGAGCCCCGTCTTACTCTCTAGACTATCGACATCGAGGATCTAGGTCTATATCTATGGTAACACTGCGAATCATCAAAAGACTTAAGTATCTATCATGTCTTCTATCTAGTTCCTGGATATCCGACGGATATCGGCGCCATCTTGGGATCGCCCTTGAAGAGATTCCTCTCAGGCGAAAGAATCACTCCACCTCTTCGTCAAAGATTCCACCCACACCTTTTAATTCCAAACCTCCTCATTACAGTATCCTCGAAGAACTAGTTGAAGAAATTCCCCAATAAAGACAAAGTAACGAGACACACGTTCAAAAGTAACGAAAACCTGTTGATTTTTAATCACGTAATGTGTATTCCCGAAAAACCGTGTCTTTCACATTCTCGATATTTAAGAATGGTAACCACGCGTTCCCTCGTACAATTTCCCAACAAATTCTCATGTCGTGTTTCTTTCTGCCCAGATTACGAATTTCCTGGGAAATTCGAGTCTGGAGACTTGTCTTCAGGGTGCGATCGCAGATCGGCGCTCGTTCGGATGCACACACAATGTTCTAGGGATCTCAGGGGCCACGGTTCAGCCGGAGCAACATCCATCTAGGTTCACGTCTCATCCGAAGGACCTACGAACACACTTATATAGGCTTGAGGTCGGAGGTTCGTTCGAGGTCGTGTGAGGAGGTGAAGCGAGGTCGAGGAAGAGGAGTGCGGCCTGCAGAGGTGGGCGTTTCGGGGGGTCGTCGGGGTAGAGTCTTAATCTTACGATTTCTAGCAAACACGGGCTCGTGGATTACGTTACTGCTCTAGAAACAGGTATTTACCAATGTATAGTCAACTCTATTATTCAATGTTGGTTGCTAAAGATAGACACTGCTAAACATAGATCCGCCTGCGGGTCAGTATACTGGATGTAGATGCGTGTGCGTCTTGGTGGGTGGGTGGGTGGGTCGGTGGGTGGGTGGATTACGACGTTGACGTCCGAGGGTGACATCGTGTGTTCCCCTGTGAGGAAGCTGATGAACATGGGAAAGGAAAAGGGAAACGACGCGATAAAAATATTTCGGCCACCCAGCAATTGTCCTCACACCGAGAAGAAAGATTAGTTGCCCGAATGAAATATATATAGTCGCCTGAACCATGTATAACTGCGAGAAACAATTATTTCGTCGAAAAGAAAAATCGATGACGATTTAAACAAGTGAATCCTGCAATCGTCAGTTTGAGTAAACAAAATTCATTTAAATCAACATTAATTTTTCGTCTCGACAAAATAATCATTTCTTTTAATTCAACACGATTCAGGCAACGATATATATTTCTTTAAGTCACGTAATTTATTTTCTTCTCGGTGCTGCAATGATACTCACGAAGAAATCAAAAGTTAATCGGAATCGAGTCTCAACCAAGATGACAAGAGAATTGCGCGGATTGAAGACCATATCCGAGACCGAAATTAAAATAATGAGGGTCTGAAAGGAGGAAAATTAATTGAAGGAAAATTTGGGGTCATCAGATCGGAGGTAATCACTTTCCTCGGGAGGGGAAAATGGTTTACACCCTTTATCTGTAAATGCTCGGCGTTCTGTTACGGAATATCTTGCACAACATTGGCCGTTAATTTTCCAATGACTCCTGGAGAACACTTGGGAGATGTGTGAGCGTGTGTGTCGTAGTGCGGCAGAAGAGTAGGAGCTAGTCGCAATAAAAAAGACAACGACATAGTAACATTATAATGCGCTCTCCAAACACAGTACCAAACCTCTAGCTGAAGGTGATTCTACGTCAAAGTACCGACAGGAGATAGAAACTGCGCTGGCAACGATCACTGGCTAACTAGAGACAAAATTGTCAATCAAGACCCAAGCCGAGAAATTCGGCCCGGTGGACGGTATCATCGCTCTTACTATCACGGAGTCATATAAAAAGCTGGTCTAGCGCACCAAAGTCTCTTCTAAGAGTACCTAAAAGACACTGTTTGTATAAACGTAACGCATCTAGCGATCAACTGGTCTAAGACACCGACAGACTCTAAGGCGGTCATTATGTCCATATCGGAGGAAAGAAGTGCAGCCGAAAGTAACACTAAACGCACGAACCTCCCAAGACTAGCAGACCAAACAGATATGTAGACGCGTCTAGATAACGATAAGTAGACAGATACGACATAGACGCCGCGCCAACTAAGAGGGTCGAGTCGACGACTCGTTAAGAGACCGACTAATACTGGACAGAGATTGACGTAAGGTCGTTAACGGATAGACATAGCTGGAGGGGTCTGTAACTAAGGAGAAGAAAAGACAGAAGCCGACTGTTGGTTCGCAGAACTCTGACTGACTCACTTGGAATTTTCGAAACCAGCTTTAGCGGTCTGAGGACCCTGAAGGACCGTAGCATACGGAGGTCGACGTCCACGTTTGTTTCGGCGAACACGGTCATCGACCTAATCCCAAGGTACACCGCTAGAATCTATGCGCCACGGTGCGTCGTCGACTTAACGCTTTAAGGTCTTAAGCTAGGATTATGCACTAACGGGGTCCCGACTCCCCTCGTTCGCGCCCTTTCTCCCGGTTTGAGGTGTCGCGGTTATTTCGACGATTCAATGTCTTCCTGTGCGACTATCGAGTCGTTTTTTCCAGGTCGCGGATTGGGTCTGGTGTTGGAGGCCGCGGAGTGGTCAGGCCTGAGGTAGGAGGTCGTGACGCGCTCAGGACCGAAGTAGAAAAGAGCTACGACGTACTCAGGCCTGAGGTGGGAGGTTGTAACGCGCTCAGGCCTGAGACAGGAAGCCGTGGCTTGTTCAGGACTGAGATAGAAGGCGATTACTGACTCAGGCCTGAAGTAGAAGGTCGTGAGGCGCTCAGGAGGGATGTAGAAAAGATACGACATACTCAGGCTTGAGGTAGGAGGTGGTGCCGCGCTCAAGCGTGAGACAGGAAGCCGTGGCTTGTTCAGGACTGAGATAGAAGGCCATTACTGACTCAGGCCTGAGGTAGAAGGTCGTGATGCGCTCAGAAGGGATGTAGAAGAGATACGACATACTCAGGCCTGAGGTAGGAGGCCGTGCCGCGCTCAGGCGTGAGACAAGAAGCCGTGGCTTGTTTAGGACTGAGAGAGAAGGCGATTACTGACTCAGGCCTCAGGTAGAAGGTCGTGATGCGCTCAGGAGGGATGTAGAAAAGCTACGACATACTCAGGCCTGAGGTAGGAGGTCATGCCGCGCTCAGACGTGAGACAGGAAGCCGTGGCTTGTTCAGGACTGAGATAAAAGGCCATTACTGACTCAGGCCTGAGGTAGAAGGCCTAACTTGGTCAGGCTTGACATAAAAGGCCACGGTTCGCCCAAACATAAGGTAAAAGACCTATATAATACTCAGGCTTGAGGTAAAAGGCCGCAACTCGCTCAAGTCCGATGTAAACGGCCGCAGCTCCTTCAAGCCTAATATAGAAGGCCGCGACGCCTCAGGCCTGATGTCGGAGGCCGCGGCCAGCAATGGGCCGCGACTCACGGAACAAACCAGGTTAAGGATTAGGATATCGAACCAGTTTACCCCGATTCGCGTGATTCGGTTATCGCGAGGTATATCCCCGAGCTCGAATCCTGCCTTGAATGAGCCTCGTTCGCCGTCTATCGCGGAAATTTCACCAAGGGAGATAAACGAGTCCGACATCCCAAGATGTTTTAGGATCGTCTTGGTCTATTTATCCGAGCATATCGCCGATGCGACTCTTTCCCCTTCCTCGTAGGCCGTTTCTCTCGATCGGTTCGACGTCCTAAAGGTGAACCGCCGCGGCGAGAAATGACCGAAAAAATCGCAACGCCAGAAAATAGTGGTTATTATGCTTGGATTTAAATCGGCCAAAAAATGCCCAGACTGAAAAGCAATCCCTCGTTTACTTTTCTACACTTTAATATGTGAATTTACTAAATCATTATTGCGGCCGGAAATTTCAGTCGGAGCGTTTTCTCTTCGCCGTGCACGGACGATAGCCTCCGAGACCGACTTCTTGGCGTTACTCGACTCGATTAATCGAAGAGTCGCTCACCCAGTCACCACGACGAAGAAATCCATGATGTTCCAAATGTTGCGAAGGTACGAGCCACGGTGGAGGATAAAGCCCAGCGCCAGGATCTTAAGACTGGCCTCGACGCAGAAGATCCCGAGGAAGTAGACCTCGGTGTGCTCGAGCTTCTGGGCGAGGATGGTCTTGTCGTGCTTGGGCAGGTGCTCCTCGAGGGCGAGGACCACACAGTTCGCGATGATGGTCAGCAGGACGGCGTACTCGAAGGGCGGCCATTCGATGATGAACCGGGTGTGCTTACGTATGCAGTTGTCTTCGCTCAGGATGAAGAGCGAGGAAGGACCTTTGTTGCTCCCTCCCCCGCCGGCCCCTCCGCCCTGGTCCCGGCCTGGCGCCATGACCACCAGACCAGGTGCCTTTAACGAAAATTAATACAATGTTTAAAATTAAAAATAAATACAATGTTAAATGAAAAATCGGTGGCGTTGGAACCGATTCATTTGGAGATCGGTGAAAACGATTTTCTTCTTTAATGAGAATTAATTTAGAATATATAGAGAATTATTAGGTATTGTTACCTCGATTCATGCCAGGCCCTCAGCCTGATACTATTCAAGGAAATACAGAAATTAATGTAAACCGTAATTAACTGTAAATAAATGTGTGTTACTATTTTCTACGTTCCTTTTTCTTTAACGTATGAGCTTGCGTTCCCAGTATCGCGATAGTTTCACCTAAAATTCAACTTTAAGCCCTCTCGATCGAAGGATGAGGTCAGATGCGATTGCCAACAATTTTTGAAGCATTGTATAAGGCTCGAATAAGGATTCGGAATCGGGAGCAGGTTAAGGGCATCCCATCGCACCCCTTTAATGCAACGCGTACCACGCGTGGCCAGGGAAAGTGCGGGGAACACTTTCTCCGGAAAGGGGATACCTGTACGGGGCAGTTAAGCGTTTAAACCCCTTCCCTTAAAATGACGAGTTACACTTGCACGAGCTGCGCGGGAAGCACTTGCGCCTGCCGGAAGAATTGCAAGGAAACGGGTTAAGGGCGAGAAGAGGGAGAGATGAAAGCCAAAGGACACGCTAAGGAGGGTAAAGAAAGCCGGGGATCTTTCGCGGGTCGGGCATTTTATTTCGCGGAATATTTCCGCAAATATCCAAGGTCAGGCGCCATCTTGAATTTTTGTACCGAAAGAGGCTGCTCTTAGGAGAAGAGAAAAAAGAAACCTAAATAATAACCGATACCAAATAAATAAGTAATAAATGAACGAAGGTACCTCTATTCTCCGTTATTCCAGGGTAAATTACATCATTTATCATTTTTCTCCTGAAATTCAACGAAATTTCTTCGGGGATGCCATTCCTCGGGCGGAACAATACGTCCTGGAATGGCTCGCAAGTCCTTCCCACGTCTTCGGCGTCATTCCAGGACCAAGGAGGAGGATTTCGGCGTCGCCGAAATACGGACATTGCGTCATATTAAAACATGCCCGACGTGCCTCGAGTACTCGATGCTCGAAACGACGAGCAATTTCCAAATTTACATACATATTGACGTGGTGATCAACGTAACGGGTAATGCATTCTCGGGGAGGAGGGCGGAGGCGCGCGCTCGCGCCCAAGTTTTAAGGGAGGATTTCGCAATGTAAATCGAGCCTGAAAGCTGCTGAAGTGGAGGCAGAAGGAGCTTACCTCCTTTCCAAAGCTAGCCCAGTCACCGAGACCACTCGGTCCGGCCAACCTCTGCCTTCTCCGGTACTGACTCTCGTATCCAGGGCCCCTCTGTGCCGCCTCTTGCGCTGCCAACCTGGAAACAAGAGAAATTCCAACATGGGACATGGATAGAAAACCTGCCCCCTCGGGTGTCCAAGCAATTCGCCCACCGAGGTGTTCATTGAATTTCGGAAAGTACCTCGAGAGCCGGAAAAGATGTCATGGGAAACGCAGCTTAATACATGAAAGGCGTTGAGAAATTTAATCGACGTCGATGAAATTAAATTCATCTATACCCTTTTTGCTGGTGACGCTATTTTGAATACTCAAGTGGTAACATAACCTCGCTTGGCACATTACCGACATTTGCATCCATTGTAGACGTTTGTTATATTCTACGTTAAAAATTATACGAAGTGAAGAGCCTCATGGGTCATTTCGGTGGAATAATTATCAAGAGATCAAAGTAAAACGGTCGAAATCCTGTGAATTCATGATTTTTGATACTCTGATGGACCAATGACGCCATCTGTGATGGGAGCTACAATTAAATTTTTGCTAGACACGTGGTACCCACGGGACAAGCCAGCATTATCTTGCAATCGTTTCTGAAAGTGTTTTCCATATTTTCCCATTTAATTCTGTAGTATTCCATTTCTATAGTGTTTTAGATTGTTCGAGCTATGTTCTGAAACTTTTAATGTTTGCATCTAAGGCTTAAAAAGGCGTAAAACTGGTAAACATTCCCAGTATCGAGGTTACACTTTGCGGCAAGTAACGACTGACTACAATTTCGTGGCGTTTAGTTGCGTTTGTACATAAAATCGGAGCGACAAGAACACGCGGGACGAAGTTGCGCCCGAAGAAGCAAAAACGTCTTTATAGCCTATAAACGGCTGAGTTATGAAATCCTACTTAAGAATCCTCGGAAGTCGTCGCATTGACTCACAAATCGGGACGCAAGTGGAGGCTTGCAAATATTGAGCTTCCTGCCCTAAGAAGGAAGGGCCCTTGATTGAATGGGAGCATCGAATCGAAACGATTGATTTTAGGAAAAAGGGGTTAAGCTCGTTAACAGTCGGCGGGGCTTGACTTTGAATCGATGGGATGCGACGAAAGGAGCCTTTATCCTCGCGGCTTTCTGCACTAAACATATGAAATAGACATGAAATTCAAGAAGTTCGCGCAGGGAAGGTCGCTTTCCCGTCTCGACGGCATTTTCTCCCAGAAGAGGAGGTCGTTTTTAACATGGCGTCGCGCCGGGCGATTGATTTTGCGCAAAAACTGATTAAGCGGGTTAATAGACCTCGTTAATGGGCTTCGGGGCCTAACATCGAGTTAATGAAGTGCATTAGAAGGGACTTTTGCTACGGTGCCCGTGCGTGGCATCGCCGGAGTACCATCAAGGTCTCTTTAATGCAATAACTCCATGTCGGCCCCTGCACTTCGGCCTCGTGGAAGTGCTCGATCCCGAAGTGGCTCCATGGCCTCTTCGGGACTAGTTAGGCGATCGAGAAGGCCTCATCACGGATTCTCTAACGTGGTAATCGACCGGACGCTTACGTGCCCGACCTACGGTAATGTCCTCGACGAGGACTGCCCGATTCAGGACTGCGATAACTCTCCGACAATAGCCCTCCTCCTCGTTTGCAGAATTAATACCTCCGAAAGTACGCCAGGGTGTATCGAGGGAAGGAGAGCATAAAAGTGTTGCTTCTGGAGGGTGGACAAGGATCTCGTATGGTGTTTGGCTGGTAAGTGGGCGAAGAATTTGTGCAAGGACTTTTCCGGAAAGTAAATTTGCGGACATCATTATCAGAATAAGAAATTTTATAGAAAATTATGGACGGAACGAGAAATAAATATGTCATTCCTGAAGGATTATCGAGTATCTCCTGATGTTCGGACTGAGAGTAGACTGAGAATTTGAGCAAGGACTCTTCAAAAATAAATGTGGAAATACAATTATAAGATTGAAGAATTATTTAATTTCTCAACTTCTCGGTATTTTTCACAGAAACCGGAGAGGAAACGTCCCGAGTCAAGGATCCCGAATTCATACTCCAGAACACGTGCAGGTCAAGATGAATATAAATCCATGCAAACGCCGTTCCCAGGATCATTGGCAATTAATGTCGAGTAGTTCTTTGACGCCTTGTGTATTTAGACCACTCGAATAGACTGTTTATTAAATGCCCAACTCCGGCGTCTATCCTTTGACCAGCCTCCTTCATCGAGTCGGAACCCCTACAGACAGTTTTTCCAGGTGAAACATTTTTCCCCTTTCACCGACTTCGCGAATCTACTCGACAAAATGGTTTCCTTTTCCACGGCGATGTCGTTGAATACGTGCGTGTGGTTGAACCTCGCCTTCCAACGAGTCGAGCTCAGGGGTGCAGGGAGTGCATTAAGCATCCCCTAATGCAATAACGAACGCCGAGGCACTCTACATCGCGAGAAGTGTCGGCCAAGGAGCTCCGACGCCATGACACGATAGTTATTCACTAATCAGGCAACCGGATTTGACGGGGCCGCCCTTAATGAAACGTCTCGTCGGCCAGACGTTGAAGAGGCCCTGGCTCGGGAAGGATCATTAGCGAATTTATTCCTCGGCCGCTGATTAAAGATCGGACCTCGTGGCGAACAGAGGGGAGTTAATTGCCTGGATGAATTCGGTGACCCGTGCAAATTCTTACGTTGAAGAGGTCAGACATAATTCAGAGAAACGGTGATTTTCTTACGTACTTATCTTTGCATAACGTACGATATTATTTAATATTATTTCGGTCGTTCCATGAATTTGTGGAGAATTTTCTTCGGGGATGGACGTATGCTTAAATAAAATTGAAGTAAAAGGTGGGCATAAGTGGGTAACAGTGCCAGGGAATGTATTATTAATTAATACATGGCTCGTTTCGTTGCAAGAAATAACTGTTGAACCTTTTCAACACGTTCGACATAAGAATCTTTAATACCAAGTATTAAATTCTTCAAGTTTGGTCCAACAAATGACGTAACCATTCATATCTCTAATATCTGAAGCCAACTCTGTATGCAACATTTTTTTTTCTCCGTAAATTCACAAAAAGTACTTCATACAAAATCATTGTCATTGAGCTAATCGCGACATTGATGATTTCCCCAAAATCAATTTCACCGGAGTCAAGAAATTCCTTCGGCAAAGGACATTTAGATTGCGGCGAGTAATTGATTTCGTCCGAAGGAAGTGAATTCTTTTTCGCAAATTCACAAAAAGTATTTCATACAAAACCATCATCATTTGACTACTTGCGACATCGACGATTCCCCCAAAATCAATTTCACCGGAGTCAAGAAATTCCTTCGGCAAGAGACATTTAGATTGTGGCGTGTAATTAATTTCGTCCGAAAAAAGTAAATTCTTCGGCCAGTGTAAGGGGATTCGAAGCGAGTCCCGGTACGTGAGTCGCGAGTAAACTCGTGATAATCGCGCGAGAGAGGGGTGGATAGATATTTCGGGTGGGTGGGTAAATGTCTTGGGCGGTTTGCGTGAGTGTCGGGAATAAATGTCGCTCGCCAAGCCCGCCTACATTCGGGGAACGCCGATCGACCCGGGGGTGTCTGCCAATTTTATCTGTTATTTCCAACCCCCACGGTTGTCGGGCGTTCGCCCTCGCGGCGCCGTCGCCTTCAATGGCATCGGTGTATTTCTCAAAGGGTAATTACGACATCTGCCCGCACCCGGCCCCGTCAATGGCCCCGAAATTCGTCGACGGCTAATTTGCCATTTGAATCGCCATCCCCGATGACGAGGAAATTAAAGGGACCGCCTAATCAAACGGCCGAAGAAAACAGGTCGAGACCTCCACGGACGCCTCGTGGTCGTTTTTCACCCTCTTCGAAAGATCCCGAAAAGGAAAAGGAAGAAAAAAAATGAGAAATACAAAATCCAACTCCGTGTCGTAAATGCTACGCGATCGAATCGAACCGGCCAAGTATCAGATTTCGCCAAATGGAGCATTTCTTTGAGAAATTTCCAGAGCATAAAAGGATATCCTCCGAAGGGTCCTGTTTATTTTCACCGCCTTGAAAATATCCACAGGGAAGGATACGTACACGATTCCGTAGTATCCAGGAAATAAGGGTAAGGACTTAAATCCAGATTAATCGGCCGAGGTAAGAGGAAGCGTTCGTATATTTCTTTTTTTCCTTTTTCTCTTCAGCGGGCGTTATTTCGCTTTCTTAACCCCGAAATATCGAGAAAAGGTATTCTCATGATATCGCAAGAATATCACCGCCATAGATTTACTTATGCATTTATTCGAGGCGAGGAAAGTAAACGAAGCGCAGTAGATTAGTCTCGTATGTGGTCAACCGAGCGTGTACTCGTACTACTTAAGTCAGTCATTTAATTGAAAAACCCAGTTTCGAGGACCTCGACATCGTCTTCTGGTGTTTCGTCGAATTTCTTTCTCTTTCAGAATCCGCGAGCGATTTTTATCTTCAGTTTGTCGCATTTGGTAATGTTTTAATAAGCCGATATGGCAGCGCGTTCGCGATTATTTTCCCCTCGGTCCTGGAAATCGTTAAATAAATTTCGGGCCATCTTCGCCATCGTCACCGAGGAACGAACGGCGGAATAATTTCGACGAGAGGCCCCCCGGCTATGCCACCGGCGAAGAGTATTACGATTTATGCGACAATGAGTTTTTGCAGGGTCGCAAGTGGCGCGAATTCTGCTGCCAAATGGCCGTGTCGCGAGTATAACCGCGGCCCGAGTGCTGTTTTGCATCGCTGAAAAATTGACGGGGTGTCCCTTTTCTCCCCTGCGCGACCCCCGTCGCCCTTTCGATTGGAAATCGATTCCGCAACCGTTCCGCTCGCCTTCCGCGCCGCCTTTCCCTGCCGGTTTCCCTTCTCGTCTTTCCGGCGAGTTCGCGTTACTCCGAGGAGTCCCACCGGGAACCGGGTTCCATCAATTATTTCCGTAGAACCTCCGAGAATCTTGAGAACGCGTCCTCCCTGCTTTCATTTCGATCCCCCGTTACGCTATTATTTTTATGACTATTAAGAAAATTATAACTTCTATAAAAAGGAGCAGAGGAGACCGGAGTT